AAAGTCAAAGAGCAACAGTGAACTTCAATAAAATCAATTACCTTGCTAAAATTTCAAATGGGATGGGTTTTGCTTTTTTTTGTTTGTTTGTTTGTTTCATTGTTTTTATAATGGTCAAGCTCCACATAGAGCAAAAAGCACTCAAAGACACACTCCAACCAGATGGGTTGGAGATAATCACTCACCCAATTACATTATTGAAAAGCTTGAGAAGAGGAAAAAAAAAATTATGTCTTTAAAAACCTGAGAAGATGGGCAGAGGAGATATTCTGGACAAAACCTCTGCCTTCAGCTCACAGCTGAAAACCACCCTGTGGCCTCAGGACGTAAGAGCCTTTGGGCTAGCACACACCTCTCTAGCTACACTGCCCAGTAAAGAGCTCCCATGCACTTAATAGCACAATATCTGATATAACTTACACTACCAGCCCTTGATTATAAGCTCACCTCTGAAAAACAATCTCACTTGTTCTTGGTGAACCTTTCCAAAACCTTGGAAAAGCCAAAGACAACTCCACAGTCGTTAGCAGTATTTAAATACTGATACACTTACTGTTCAGCTCCAAGATGTTATTGACTCCTAATATTCTTTCTGGTATGACTAAATCCCTGTACTTAAAAGGCAATGAAAAGAATTATGCAGCTAACCACTGTTCTTTCCTTGCCCCTATGAGCTACACAGGAAAAAAGGCAGATCTCTTCTCCCCGGCTTATTTTTCCAGGTGAGACATCAGTTCTACTCAGTGCCAGACAGAATGCATCCAAAAGGAGATGGCTGACCACTTTAGAGAATAAGGAAGCAGAAAACACTACTTATTTAATTTTATTTGTATTTGTTCATTAAAACACATTTATTTTGCTCTGCTGGAGGGTAGGCAGCCTATGCTAATAGATTATGAGCAGACGGTATTTTATTCTAAACCTGCCTGCACAAATACAGCATGTGCTGCTCACCTGGATCCTTTATGAAAAGCCACTCCTCTGTTACTTCTCAGCCCCATCGTTCCCATGAGCTGGATCCATTAAGAGTTAATACAATGAGTACATGAAACTGCTTAAAATAACCGCAGAGCCACAAAGATAAAGGTCTCTGGATAATACAAATGGTCTGGTTTAATCACGTGCCAGGACTGCTGATGGTGTTTGCAGCTATCCCAGCGTTCACTCTGCACACAGACAGCAGAGCACAGTAGCAGCAGGCAGCCCAGCCAGCTGGCCCACAGTGGGGTGAGAGGCCAGACAGTGCTCCTTTAATAAATGCAGCAATTCTACAAGGGGCTTTCACAATCATCACCATCATACCTTTGTCATGAAACAAGGAAGGTGCTTGGACCCTGCATAAATCTGCCAGCACAATGTGCTTTGCCATCTGTACCAAATTCTTTTGTCCTATCCCCACATAAATCTATCCTAAATATTAGGGGAGCTCACTAAGCAGGAAACAACCAGGGCAGTTACTGGAAAAGCGGAACAATGTTTCCTCAGGATCACTGCTTTGATCTCAGCTCCTCTTCTGAACACCAGCAAGTAAGTGCAGTTCCCAAGCAAAAACTCTGCATTTCGGTTGCATGCCCAGACATTAAGGAGACACATATAAAGACTCAAAATCCATTTGTTTTCTTAATCTTCTCTGATTCTATGTCCTTCTGCAACTTCTGCTTCTTTTCCTCTCATGCCATGTTCCATTTTCTCACATTTTTGTTTGCCATTCCTTATACGAAAAAAACAAAATCCCTTTACAAAACAAAACAAAACGCACTAATCAGATTTAATTTTGCTTCCTTTTACTCCAGCAAAGCTGACAGACACCTGTTAGTAGTTCCATCACCATCGAATGAGGGTAGCGTCAGCTAGTACTGTCAGCACCATTGTCCCTGGACAGCTGGAAAAGGAACGGTCTAGCAGTGAAGCAGCTCCTGAACGACAGCAGGGATCGACTATTCGTAGACATGAGAAAGCCAGGAATGTTCTTTAACTTCTCAACTAACAGCCATTTTACTGAATGTTTCAGTCAAACCTTTAAAGGTTGTTTAAATTAAAACAAATGCAGCTTTTAGAAATTACACCTGAGTGTACAACTATCTACGTATACTAAAGAATTAAAGTTTCTTAACTAGAAATCATCAAACAGCTTCCAGTGCAGGTAAGCAATTAAAACAAAAAAGTGCAAAAGAATCATAAAACTATGTAACTTTTTGACATCTCTATGCCCACTACAAAACTAAATGCAACACATTTTTAAGTCTCAAAAGCTTTCCATTTCATTCTCTATTCTCAACCAGAAAAACATGTTTCCTCGTGAACTACTGTAATTCTAGCAACTTGAGTTCTAATTTGGTAGCCTGCCTTGTACAAGATCAAGCTCTGAGCTACACGTATCCTACAAACCTTCTGAGATCCACTTAGTCACACAGATATGAGGAAATATAGACTTTATAGGCAAATTCAATAGCACTGAAAAGAACAGTAGCTCCTGCCCTGAAAGGGAACCACAAATAGGAAATGAGTCACGCCCAAACCATCGACACTTATCAATTGCAAAACAATGAAATGAGTATTCCTGTCAGTTTATTTGTAGACTGCAACCCTTTTAGTCCTCAGTTTCACTGAGGTCTCTCAAGATCAAATCTATCAAAAATCACAGAAAGCTTGTAGAGGTCTATTTTTTTCAGTGTCTTTTCTCAGTCACTCTGCTTTGTGCCTCCACCATACTGGAACTACATGTTGGTGAGACAATATCACCCAGCAAGGCCTGGCACAGGCTTGCATTTATCTAACATAATGCACAGAGCTCTACTGGGTTCCGTTTGGACTGGACACCCTGTGTACCTAGCAGGGTTTGTCAAGTTGGCACGTGAGGTCACACACAAGTCCATGATCTATCCTTGATCACAGGCAGTCCAGAACTGACATCCTTATACCACATAAACCCATTTGTGACCGGTGACACAAAGAAACAATAACAAAGAGAACAGATCAAGGATGCAACTGCAAACAACCTAATTTCCCATGGAGGGGAATTCATCAGGCATACAGTAAATAAAAGGAAAAAGGAAAGCCAAAGTGAAACACTTTGTATATTTTAAATCCACATCTTTTTTCACCCATTCCACCACAAATCTATGCAATCAAGGAGACTGCCGGTTGGAGCTTGTGAAGGTTTTTTTTTTTGTTTTGTTTTGTTTCTCAGGGGTTTTGTTTTACTAGCTGTCACTTAAGGACAGAAGTGAAACACCATGACACCATTTCCACTCCTGCGGAGTGTGTAGGGCTCTCTTTGACGCTTCTGATGTCATGTAGTCTTGTGGATCACATCACCTTTCCCATGAAAGCACAGGGATTATCTTTCTCCATTACTTTGCATTCTCCCTTACAAGAACAAACATTTCCTGCGATTCTTCCAACAGTGAAAAATAGCTGCTTGTATCACATAGAAACCCAGTAGCCCTGTTTGTTAACCAGCTGTTTTGCTTTAAGTTGTTAGTGTTTTTAAACATGATTAAGTGTTTCCCTTTCCTATAAAAATCCAATTTCCCAGGAATTTTCCAGAAAAGTAGTTGTTACATTTGCATTCCCATAATCAGCTAAAAATGTTACAATTATTTAAAGAGTTTCTTGGGCATATGTAGCTTTTTAATGAATTCTGTGTAGTATCCAAAAACTACAAGAAGAGCTAGCATGAAAGAAGTAATTATTGGGTTATTGGATTAAGATAGGAAGGCATATGGCTCCTTTTCACACAAACTCAATACACTGAAGTCTAACCAGATGTGCTCAGTGGAGAAAGACCAGAATTAGTAAACTCAGAGGCATACTTTCTAAGTAACGGTAATCTCTTAGGTCTATGTTTTCTTTAACAAGCTTTTCCACAGCAGAAGCAAAGGCTCTTCAGAAACAAAAAGTCATGGAAGACATCTAGTCTCTTCCCTGAGATCTACACAACAGGACAGCGTTTCCTCCTTGGTCCCTTTATTTATTTTATTTTCTCTCAATAGCCATGCATAAAATGTTGATAAAGTCAAAGGATTATTTTTATCTCCCATTCTCACGGTTTTTAAGTACAAAGAGGCTTGCTGGAAAAGTTTAGACATTTAGGAAATCTGGACATGCTGTATTCTCCAAATGTGTGTCGAGTGATATCCATCTAATTTGAGTCACACTCATCTATGGGTTTAAGCCCTTCAGTAAGGAGGGTACACAAGGAATGGTGATACAGATTAATGTTTGTAAGACATACGTTGTTTGAAAGATAAATGTCCTTTCTCTATAATTTTAAAATCCATTCTATGAATTTTTAGCATAGAATAAAACTGCTGTGCTTACTTGGAAAACAAAATGGCAGTTGGGTGACATTTCTTTAACAACAGCTGCCCAGTGAAGATAATTACAGCCCTAGCAAGCCCTAGATGAAGAGTCTGTTGCTTTTCTTTCCACATTTGAACTTTTCTGTGTCTCAGCAGGTCTAGAAAGCACTCCCTGTATCCCTAGGACCATGACACAGGTGAAATTAAGTTAACCCACCGCTGCTTTCAAGCCCAGCTAAATTCACAGGGCTCCCCAAATCCAAGAGCCCAATCACTTCATTGCACACCCCACGTTATTCTGCCGTTTTCATGCACAGTGTGTCAGCAAACTCTAGTGTAGTCAGACTTTACACAAAACTAAACACTAAACCTGCTGCTCCTGCCAAAACAAAACACCGCCTCCTTGGATATAGCACATGTAGCAACAACTCAAGGCAAAAGAAGAAAGAAACTCCCTCTGCCTGATCAAACATAAATAAAATACATTTTCCTGGCATCAGGTCTTGAAGGCCTGATACTGCTAAGAGTGACAAATCATGCCAAGGAAGAAGTTCTGAGCTTCCACCCAAAAAGTTTCATCCACCTGTCAGGAAATGAAACATCTGAGGCCGAGCAGCACAACTTTAATTGGCTGAATATTTTTTTTTAAGTAGTGGAATTGCAATAAGGTCAACACAAGGACAGGAATGAACTGACCTTGACATATGCTAGGTAATGCTCGCACTTTTCCTGCATATACGACAGTTGTAACTTCTCTGTGATCTGCCCTGCTGCCTCTCCAGAAGTCACAAAGTAAATTCTGGGTTGATGGCTCTTTTCCTTCTTTGCCACATCAGCAGTCAAGTTATAATTCAAACCTGTTTTAAAAAGGAAGTAGAAGAAAACAAAGGATGTCAGTGAACAATAGTTATTTTCTAGCCACCTATCAATGGACCCTGTTGCCTCCTAGTGTGCTTGAAAAAAGGTCAAACCTTGCAAGGTCGAAATTAATCACTAAGTTTCCCGTTGCTACATAAAACCAAATCCAATTACTAACGTACTCCCACATTTCGTGTTACTATTATTCCCAGCCCATCCTTCCCACAGGAAATGGTGTGTAAGAATACATCTAGATATGTACATTTAACACCAAAAAAAAACCACCCCAAAACACCCCAAACAAAACAAAAAAACCCCACAACACACAAACCCCCAGAAGATGCTTAAACTATGTTGCTAACAGAAAAAACAAAACCACACAAACAACAGCAGCAGCCTCAAGTTCATTTTCCTCCTAAAACAACACAAACTATGCAAATGTAAACCATGATATGCCATTTCCTGACAGTTGTTTTCTTTGATTTGCAGTCATCTTAGCATTTATACCTTAACTAGAGGTCAGTGCCTCGCACTCAGCAGTGCCCTCTTACATGTTACACATCCCTGGCAGTGTATAGAAGACATATCCCAAAACTTATGAGCTGTCTCTTTGTAAATCTTGTTTCCTGCTGTTCTACAGGATAGGTAGCTTGACACAATCGGTTGCTATGTGACTGGATGTGTCTGTGTTCAGAAGAAAACTTACCCGCTAATTGAAGTACTGTGCTGATTTTGGCTAGGATAGAGTTAATTTTCTTCACCATGTCTAGTAAGGGGCTATGCTTTGGATCTGAAAACAGTGCTGATAACACAGGGATGTTTTAGTTGTTCCTGAACAATGCTCTGCACTGTATCAAGGCCTTTTCTGCTTCTCACACTGCTTCACCAGTGAGCAGGCTTAGGGGATCACAAGAAGTTGGGAGGGGACACAGCTGGGACATACCAAAGGGATATTCCATACCATATGACATCATGTTCAATATTTAGAGTAGGGGAAAGAAGGACAAAGGTGGGAACGTTTGGAGTGACGGTGTTTGTCTTCCTAAGTAACCATTATGCTTTCCTGGAATATGCTGACCTAGAAGGGAGGCACAAGGATCCAGCTCTTAACCCTGCACTGGACCACCCCCAAGAGTCATACCATGTGCCTGAGAGCATTGTCCACACGCTTCTTGAACTCTATTTGCTGCTGTGACCATTTCCCTGAGGAGCCTGTCCCAGTACCCTGAGATTGGCTCATTACTAAAGAGCTTAATTTGTTGATAACCTTTGTAAAGGACAGATAGCACCAGTTCCTGTGCCAATTCACTACATACGTAGGGTACTTGCCAAATTATTGCTTTGGCTTTTATTAATGTTTTAAGTCCTAAATGACTGATGTCAAATAAAATGCTCCCCATAATGTAAACTTTTTTTAAGCCAGAATTTTAGAAACTATTAGTGTAAATGTTACACGTTCCTGGACTGAGGTCTACCATACCAAACTTCAGCAAGGGGTCTTTGCTGCATTTTGTTGTGCTTTTGTGATGGAGTTCGGTTTGTTGTTTTGTTGTTGTGTTTTTGTTTTTTTTTTTTTAATCAAGGAAAATCCTAATTGCAAGACATACTGGAGGCGGTCTCTGTCAGTGGACATACAGCTAGACACTCAACTCTCCAGTAAGCACTGAGGCAATGTATGGCATGCAGTGCAGAGCACGTTTCCCTTGGCCATGGCTCTTGGTTCAGACAAAAACATTTCAGCAATAAATTCATACTTCTGAAGACCATAGCCTGAAAGAAACAATTTAATGGAAACTGTACTGTCATTGGTAGTATCAAGCAGTGCCAATAAACACAGAACCCCAGAGAGCTGTTTCATGAGCAACAGGCTTACAAGCCCCACTAGAAAAAGAAGAAGAAGAAAAAAAAAGATGGGGAACGTTTATATTCAGGTGTGAGGTAGTGCTAGATGAAGATGACTTTCCATCACATGCCAGTTAACAAAGTAGCCACACATTCAAATCAGCATTGAGGGCACACATTTGCCACAGAAGAATGCTGCCCACATGTTCAGCTTGACTTTCTAAACATTATGCAGTAGATGACCAATGTCAGCTGCCCAAAAGCAAGACAAATGCCCAGCTTTTCACCAGTAAGCAGCAATCTCAAGTATTCACATTGACAAGCCCTGGGGGAGTGACTTTCTGGATGACCACCACATTCTCGCCATCTGACTTTACTGACTGCCCCCAGACACCCAAAGATGAAATAATCCCAATCCCAACACTTTTAGCCATAAAATTCTGGCATAGCATTTTAACACTTCCATATGCCTTTCAGAGTCTGAACTGGACAACCATGCATTAACAGGGATATTCCAGGGCTTTTTCCCCCCATATTTAACCACGCAGGAGAGGAACCATTACAATATTTCCATTATTTGTTCCACCCTTTGTTAATTGACATTCTTCAACTGCAACATAATTAAAATGGTCTGACTGTTAGATTACTAACTGAAAGCTCATTTGAGATATTTTATCCAAATCATACCCTGAAGGGATTTTATACAGTCAGATAGTTCTGGTTGCAATGTTTTCAAGAAAAATCACTTTGTTACAAGCACTGTATGAAAGAACAATGATTGGAAGTTTTATAATAATCTGCTTAATAGTAAAAAAATTCCTAGTAATGAGATGGATGTTGCTCGCCAAAGAAGATGCTTATGTGCTTTCACCACAATAAATCTTTAGAAGTACAGTCTGTATGACAACACAGGGAAATTCAACAGCTCTTACAAGACATGATGAACAGGAAGATGGATCTTTTGCAAACGAGGGGAACAGATATTTAGATCGGGAAAAAAGGAAGATCACTTCTTAGTCACAGGTCCAGAGTTACAAAATTGAAGCAAAGGAAACATTTGAAACAGTACTTCAAGAACACAAGACCACCTAGATATTCAGAAAATCTATCTGGTGATTTTCAGAGAGGAATTAATAATCCCCTCAGAACCCTCAGAAATGCGTTTTCTTAATTGAAGAGTAGCAGGCAGTACAAAAAATACTTTATCAAAGCATGTATTTATCTGCTTGGAGTCATCTAAGAGAAGGAAAAAATGCAAAAATAGAAATTCAATTCTCAGTTGCATCAGTGTGATAGAATAGACAGGAACCTTACATTTGGTAACTCCATTGTTTTGAGCTGTTCAGGTGAGAGTGACAAGCTGCTTGTAGTTCTCACCCCACGTGAATGGCAGAAGTAGCAGCAAGAAGCCTTTTCCTTCTCTGACTTACTTAAAACCAAAATACTGCAGCAGGCTCTGCATGCTGGGTCGCACAGATGCAACTCACCCTTTTCAACTACCTGCTCAAAAAGGCAGAGCACAGAGCAGGAGGAGGCACTGCTTTCCCCAGCTCACTGTCAAGACAGAGCGTGCTGTGAGGCTGAGACATCTTCCCTGAACAGCACAGTGCTAGTCCTCTGCCATTCCTAAAGCGCGACATCATGAACTAAATTAACTCAGGCCTTAAAATATTTAGAAATGCTGTATCTGTCCCATACAGCTTCACACAATATCTAAGACTTGTAAACATCGGGACATAAAAGTCATAAGCAGTATTTTAACAGAGCCAAGACATAAAGGTTTGCACAATTACATGTTACACAATTCCGTTCACTTCACCAACTCCATGTGTTTTACAGAGATTAACTAATCTGGAAGATATTCTTGTTATCAGTAAAAGATTGGGCTATTTACAGTCATTTTACAGACAGGTAAACTCATGCATAGAAAACCATTTTCTCATGTCTTTTTCAAGAGCTCCTTGTAAACTTGCAAAAAGTATTAATCCAGAGCAAATAATCTTTTGTATGCTTTCTGATAACACTGATGGAAGATATGGCTTCAGAAATGTATTCTCTATCAAGAGGTAAACCAGGAATATGAACTTGGAAGGCTGTGTTCTCTATCCTTGTAGCAAGCCTATGGACACACTTCCCTTCTTTCACTGAGGAAGAAACTGCATCGGTATTACATCAGCCTCATCAGAAAGTCAAAACGTGCCCAAGGAAGTTCTTGAGCCTCCAACTTTCCGGAATTGTATACCTCAAGTTCACACTGAAACCACTTATTTCTCATAAAAGCTCTGTTGCTGACTGCAAAGAGAGCCCTTGACTCCAGGTCAACCTGTTACTGTGGCCCTGCCCAGGGCTGGCACAGGTACCTTACCTATTTCTCCAGGAACATGCTTGCCGCTGAAGCGAAAGCACACTGTGACATTGAGGCAGTTCACCGGCTGCAAGCCATCGTGGCACTGAGGAGCTGTGATATTGATAGATACAGGCAGGAAAATGGAGATGTCCACGGTAATAACAGGCCTGGATCTGGAGATCAAAAAAGAAGTAGAATTGAGTGACCAGATGGAAGTTCTAAGCCAAAGGAAAAGAAAGTAAATTTGGTAAACTACACAATTTCAGGCAGACAGGAAAAATAAGAGAGTACATTTGAACTGTAAAAAAAAAACAAACTAGCACTTGACCAAGCTGGTAAGGACTACTAGCATTTAAATTAAAAGAGTAATAGCAGCTTGAAGTTCACTGCTTGGATACAGACTGCAGGCAGGCAACTAGGGAAACCAGTAATGTGTAATAATAATAATAATCATCATCATCTCCACCAAATTTGCATAAAGCCTAGCTGATGACTGAAGAGGATAACAAAATTAGTAGAACAGCAAACAAGAACAACAATTCATGCAAATAAGACTGGTTGCTAACCATGTTGGATGCTCAGGGACAGGTAGGAAGAGATCATAGGTTTCCACAGAATGGTCTACAGTCAAATTTGTGACCTGAAAGTCAAGGAGGGAGCACAAGGGTAGGAGATGGATTCCTATATAATTTTTCTGATGGTCTGAGAGGGACAACAGACACGACACTCATGTTTTCTGGAGGAGGGACATTTGGCTAATTCCCTCCTGCCAAGTGGCAAGGATTGAATACTCTTCACACTGCCAAACTGTGTTTCAGGAGTTACCCAGTGCACTGTGAACGAAAGCTTTCTACCCTTGTAACTCCAGCACCAGGTTACTGCTACCACTACTCCTGGAACCGCAGAGCAAGCTGAGTGCCTTAAGGCCCACGTGTGTCTTGTAAGGAAACTTCCCTGTCTGACCATTCAGGAGGCACTCACAGAGTCACACTCACACCACCAGAGATTTTAACTGCTGAGACCAAAGCCCTTTTGCTTTGGTGGCTCCAGTGACTCCCTACACACACCACCCTCACGTAGCCAGACCACGTTTCCCACAGTTCCATAAAGCCATTTATTCACAGCAGAGTAACACAGAAACAGCTCAAGCTGGTGCCTCTGAGGAGGGATCCAGAACAAAGGACCCCTGGGTTTTTATACTCTCAGACTCCAAGCAAGTCTTCACTCCTCCTTGCTCTTCCCTCCTGAGTCTCCTCTCCTGCTGTGTTTCCCAGTATCTGCTCCCCTGGCTGTGCCACAGGTCCCCATGGCTCTTCTTATGCAAAGAGTCAGCGGTTCCCAGCCTCTTGCTTCAGGCTCACACCACCCAGAGCTCAATTTGCAGCTCACACTGCAGCTGTGCCTGAGATACCTACTGAACGTATTCCTCAACAGTTTCCTCTTTCACACAACACAGAAGATCCAGCAGCCCAGAAAACCAGACTCTCTTGAGCCATCTCCAGCCCAGGACTTCAGCCCAAAAATTCAGTGTTATTCTTCCTGGTTTCAATTCTGTACAACATGTACATGTACATGTTCTTCCAAAACCAACTACAAGAGTAAAAAAAAATGTGCAGCAACCAGCAGATTCAGGTCCAGGGTAGTCCCAACAGCCATGCAAGGCCAGAGCTTGTAAACCACTTCAGAACCATCACTCCACAAGCCACTTAATTGAGAGGCAGGGGAGAGGAAGGAGAAGAGAGCAGGGGCTGTGGTTACACCATCAATCTCTAAGTCAGCTGCTCAGACTCTTTTACCACAGCCTGAAATAACAGTGCAAGTTCACATTTTGAGATGGAGGATGAAGATAAATGCTAGCCCTAGAAATATATGCAGTGGGGGGGAAGGAGAAAAAGGAGTGAGCAGTCATTTCACACCCACGAGAAAAACACTTTTTCTGAATGTTTAGGGAGACATAAAAGAGTAAGAGCTATAGCTGATCTAGAAAAATATTTCTCTCAGAAAAAAATATTTCTCTAGCTATGATGCACTGTCTGATTTTTCCTTTATGTCATCTCACTTGGCTATTCACTGGGAAAAAAAAAAAACAACCAGTGCATCTGTCAAAGGGCCATACACATGTGAGCAATACAATGCTGATGATCTGCCCCAAGTCGCCAAAGGCTTCCACCAAAGTCTTTAAATATCACTTGGCAAAACATTTGTTGGTTTTGGCTAAAGGACTTCACAAAAGTGGGAGGGGTAAGAGGAGGAGAAGAAAAAGCTCATTTCTTTATCCTAATCTGAATCTTAACAACAAGAGGGACACACTGGAAACTGGCAGTAGCAGCAATTAATCAGGCTGCCCACAAGGCCAGCCAGTAATACACTAATTTTCTCAGAAATGCACAAGCATGACTGAAAACATGGCCAGAGGTCATCATGCTGTTCAGAAGACTTGCCCACCTGCCATTCTGATCATCAAGGGTATTTCTTCCCCTTCCTTTGCTTTTTTTCTTTTTCTTTTGTGTAACTGATTCCAACGGAAACAGAGACAAGTTTTTCCTGCTTTGAACAGGAAGGAGCTGGCACATCTGTTCTGCAGCAGCATTTGCCTTACCAGAATCACCACATCCCTGTCTCTTCCATTAAGATACTGGAGTTCCTAGTAGTGATTTCTATTCCTAATGACATCTAAGTATTGAAAGGATTTCTTTTATTAAATATTAACAAGTGTAACAACAGACCTACTGTCAAAAAACCTCTTTTGCCCAGGTCTGTGCACCTCAAGCTCACTCCTACTCTAACTCTCTATCTGGATAATTTGGTGAACCATGACATCCCACCTCTTTCTATCAGACGGAACAAGCAATTGCACTTAACTCATAAACTTGAAACAGCCCAATTCCTGCGTGCACTGAAAATATATCCGTATTTCATTTCCCTGAAGACTCTTATTTCATTCAGCATCCCATTATAACTTGCAAAATTACGTCCTGGCATCATACACAGCTCATTTTTTGCTCAACTGCGTTCCCTTAAATCACAATTTATTTACTTTATATAAATGTACAAATAATAAAGAAGCCTTCTCACAAGTTGGGAGCGACCTTGCACTGAGATTCAACACAGCTCCCTCTGGCTCCAACTCTTTTTCTTCATAGGCCTGGGTGTCCTACGTATTGTCACCCCTCACTCTGCTGTTTAAATTAGACTGTGCATTCTTTGACCCCATTCATGTCTAAGGGTTTGCTTAAAAAGTTTGCTTCTTCTGGCCACAATAAACCAGGGAGAAAACTTGAGTGGTTACTTGGTTGGGCTTAAGACCATACAAGATATACAGAGAAAGCAAAGAAAAAGAAGACAACAATGAATGAAAAATACAGTCATCTCACCTCAGAAGTACCACACTGTCTGACAGGAAGGCTCCAATAGTCATATCTGAAATTTTTGTAACATTGAGACCGTTACAAAGGAGACATGGAATTCAGTTCTTTCAAATCAGTTGCTAGACTACAGAGCATGTTTTTCTGACTTAGCCACTTGGCCACTTCAAATATCATTATGTCATAAGCATTTTAACTGGAGGATTAGGTCTGTGATGTTACTTCACCTCTGCTTCGTTGTTTGATTTTTATTAACACTACTACATTATTGTCTGCTTTTTGGTTTATTTTAAGACTGCCATCCTGACTGAGCAGTTTCCAAGAAACTCGCAACCTTGGTCCAGACACTGAATCTTCAATCACTGTAGCTGCCAAAACACCTGAATTAAGTAATTGCCTAGAATTTTTATCAGGAGTTTCTAGTAGAAGAGAAAGGGAAAAAGCAGCCCAGCTTCACTGACCATCTGCAATGCCAGGGACCAGCAACCTGGAAACAACCTAGCTCTGCTATTTTCTGGGCCTATTGCTTTGTTTTCCCCGTGCTCCCACAGAGCAGCATACATACCTGGATAACCATTGCTATCCATATCAACTCCCCCTGATATGGACTGGCCGAACATACGCAGCTTTGGGTTTATTGTTTGCCCAGACAGCTTCTGCAGTGGAAACAACACAAGTGGAATTATTCAGTAACATAGAATGCTCCAAAAAAACCCCACCAAACAAAAGAAAACCTTCAAGCATGGTTTTCACGGTCACTGGGTCTCTTCTCCACGGGCTGGAAGTGCCGCACACCTGCAGTTTGTCACTTCACTGAGGCAGCCCTGAACAGGAAGGCTGTCAACTGCAGGAAACCCTTCTGCCCTGGGCTAGTAGGAGGCCAGCACTGACTTGGATTGAAAAACACACCTGCATAACAATCCTCATGAGGATCCAAGCAGAATAAAGAACACATCAAACAGATTTCTTTCTGCAGAGGGAGAAAATTTAACTGCACTCAAGAGATTAATTATTTTGTCTGGTTTTTTTTGCATTGCCTTAGTTTCCCTGAATAAAAGTTTCAAGGAGCATCTTGCCAAAATTAATGATTAATTGAAACACAAAATCCCACACAACCATTTCTTTTCACAAAGTTTGCTAGCGTACTCAAAGTCAAAATGATTAATTTTCATGCCACTTGGAAATTCCAGTTTCCATTAGATATTAAGTATTTTCTGTCAGTTTGGAAGTTGAATCTCATTTCTGCCTCCCCAACTTCTAACATAGTTTCTTTTTTTAATGACTAGCACAAAAACTTTCTCTAAATTCTTTGCACTGTTAATGCCTTTGTCTGAAGCACATTAGTACATCAAAATCTCCTTTTCTAAGAACGTAATCAGAATGCTCATAGCTTTCATGTATTATGCTGTGCCACCAATGCAAGACCTGGACTCAAATTACCTTCTGACTGCAGAAGGTATGGACAGAGGAAAGCTGTTCCATGAAGTCATTTAGAGGCTGCTGGTGGTGCTTCACAGCTTGTGACATGCAACCAACTTTTCCTGGCCCTCCCGTAAAAGAATGTAACATTGGACAAAAGGTCAGGTATGAAATTTATGGAAAAAAAATGTAAGTTGAAGGGAAAAAAGATATCCTGACAGTTAGTTTAATGGGAAAACAGTGTTCCTACTCATGGGCAGGTAAGACTGACAACTGGAATACCCATATTACACCTGCTTCACATTTTTAGGGGTCCCAGTTAGGGTGGTAAATCCCACCTGCAAACACCTCAGAAGACATCTGTGGCTCTTACAGCCCAGAAGGCAAAGGTATAATGCTGCTCTGCTTTTAAGGACCATGAATGAAAACAGCAGGGCACAAAGCCAATAAGCTGCTTCTGCTAATAGCAGCCACTACAGCTGACGAAGGCACACAGAACTACACTGATCAGCAACTTGAAGACAAGTGGGAAAGTGGCAGGGGGAAAGGCAGGACAGGAAGAGCTTACAAAATGAAAAGGGTGAAAATATACACCCTGCAGGGTCCCCCCCTCCACCTCTCGCAGCTTATTTAAAAAAGGAAATCCACAGCATTGAGATGGATCAGCAATATAGTAATAAGATACAAAAAGTCTTTCACCCCTGGGTTCAAATTCAGGGCAGGTAGGTCGAGAGCTGAAGCTGTTGTGCAGTTTTGGTTGCACACAGAACATGAACTGGTGGTCTGTCCAGTGCCCTGCAGCAGATACTGGGAAATAGTACAGAGATACTGCCTGTAAGTGGTGCCCTCTTGGCTGCCTCAGGACATGGAACAACCAACCGTAGGAATGGTATCAAGGGTAAACAACCATACCCTGCCACCTTCTTGAGCTGGGTGTTTTCCCACTGACCAAATGGAGATGCATGTGCTGTGTCTGCTGGCCTTGTTCCAGCAGGGAGGGAGAGATCACAAACAGGATGTGTTGCTTCCCACCCTGATGATCTGTCCTCCTTAGAAAATGTAACATTTTCCCATGAATGAAAAAAAAAAAAAATCAAAAAACCCCATCCTTTTCAGCAAGAGCTTGAAAGCTCTAAGATATTCAACAGCCAGAGAAGAACCTCCCAAACAGCAGCTCTTGGCAAAAAATGGGCAGAATCCACCACATGCCACACATTATGAATACTTATAAAATGTACTAAAGAGTCACTTCCTTTTTTTCATAAAAGCAGTGCATGCCACATCCATGGTAAAAGGAAGAAGGACTAAACTTTTATGGTCTGTTAAAAGAGTCTCCAATATAACCACTAAACTCTTTAATTCTGCTTAAATTGATTTACTGTGAAGGATCCCACCCAGCAACAAAACAAAACAACCAGAACTTCAAACACACAGAGGGAGGGAAGATTCAGGCTCTCTGAACAAAGAAATGTGCTAGAGAGAGACTAGCGGACACATGTTGGGCAGCAGGAGCATAAATTTATCATCTCTACTGCCTGCCTACAGCAGCTAAATTGCACTGTCATCCCTGCACAAGATGCTATAGCATATCCCAGACGAGATTTCACTTCACAATAAGGGGGTCGGGGGAATGGCTCCCAAGAATCGCCTTGAGACATATTGTCGAATGTGGAAAACACCTCCTGACTAACAGAATGTTACCCTTTAGCATAGATACAGACAAACTTTGGGAGAAGCCATCTTCAAACCAAGGCTGAGAAAAGGATGTTGAGTTATGACGAGGCTACCCCTTCAGAACCCTTAGGTATGGTTTATTTCTGCATGCCCTGGGCGAGTGACTTCAGAAAGGTGTTGTAGATGGGAGTGTCACGTACCATAGAGTACTGAGGTATAATACCCTTGGCATCCCCATGGTAAATGTACACTGCTCCTATGTAGTTATCCTCCTTAGGTGCTCCAATGGCAACATCTGTAAAACAGGATAGATTATAAACATTTCACAATCCATCCCACTAATCCAACTTTTTCCCAATTTTAGAATGCAGCTATCCATAGGAAAACAGATCCCTGTGACAAAGAAGATCAGCAGCTCCTGTGAACCTAGGTAGAAAGAAACTTGTTTGATTTATTTAAAAGCTCATGTTAAGATAAACTTAAAAAATACACAAATATATATGAATTTGTACACACATGTGGCTATGTTTCACAGAATCAGATGTTGTGGCTAATTAGAAACATGTGCTGTTATGTGTGTTTATTAACCAGCAACCACACTCAAAAAGTTATTGTAGAAACCTTTCACAACAAAATCTCCAACCCATAGGAACATCAGCTTTGCGAACCAGGACAAGACTGGCAAAATAATTACTGTAGCACTACATTAAAAAAAAAAAAAAATGTTGAAAATCCAAGGCTCCACAAAGAGGCTGTGTATATTAAATGGATAGGCAAGAGGAGAAGAAGACTGCTGAGGGTCCACTTTCAAAGCACATTTGATCCAATGTAACTGCAAACTCTTGTGGAAAGCATGATCCCACCTCCTGTTCTCCACTTCTAGCTGGATATACTGACTATGTGGCTACTAAAATTAAGCTTTTCACAGTTGCTTCATACCCATGGACCGATTCAACTCCCTCTGCAGTCCCCCCATCACCACAACTGACCTACAAGCAGCAGCGAGAACACACAAATGCATGTCCAAATACAGAGGAACAGCCTGTCCACTATTGGTGAGAGCAACCTGCAACGAGCCTGAGTTAGGCTTACTGGGATACTGTGCCCTGAGTGGCCTGAAAGAAATAAATCCAGGCATAGCTGGCCTTTGTTTAGAAGTCCTTAATCTGCACTGCCAGAAACCAGGTCAGAAAAGGTGCCAGCATCAAAACTTTGCTCTCACCTATTGCTATCACAGCACGGGGTCTCGTGCTGAGAGGGCTGAGGAAGGAGCAGAGGGAGCACAAAGAAAAGGAGAGAAATTATAGAGTATACTCTATCAGGAGTGAGAAGCTACTTCTTAATTACACTACATGATAAGAAATGAGACTATGTCAACAAAACCAGAAAGGCTTGAAAACATAAGGAAATAAGAAAGAAAAAAGAAGTCAGACATAGGTTTCTGTTTTCTCTGGGGTGTGGGTATCTTAAGCCCTTTATAAATCACACAGGAAAAAAGAAAATACAACAGCATGGAAAGTAAAGCAATTAATGAGATTGAGGTGTGTCGATGAGATTGACCTGCACAGACAAGGAGTAAACTAACATCAAGAACAGTCAGCTACAAAAGGCTTTAGCACACACAAACCCTCCACAGGCACATTCATTTATCCTTAGTTTGAACCCAGGTGCTGGTCAGATCTGCAGGAGCAATAGATGCCACGCAGCACTCAGCCAGGCAGAACCGGCAGTGACACCAGCTTTGCTGGCACCGACGGAGAAACGGCCACGAAGGAAATTACACTGACCTGGGAAGCCATCGTCATCAATGTCACCAAGGGCAGCTATGCTCTCCCCAAAGTGTGCATTATAAGCGCTGTCACCATCCAAGATGAGCTGCTCTTCCAGCACTCCCTGGCAGGCAAGAAATAAAAGAGGGTCAGGGAAATGGTGCGATTCCCGGGAGAGGTAAGCCTTCCCCCTGGAAGATGCCCTTGTGCTGGGAGAAGTACCTGGGGCACAGCTCCAGCCTGCCTCTCACCCTCATTGCACTCAGATTAGCTGGAGTCTAGGAATCTCATTTATTTGGGTTTTAAACCTTCTGGGTTTTAGTTTTAAAAGGGGCAGGAAAGAAAGGGGGAAAGAGCACATGGCTGATATAACTAAAATGCTAAATTAACTAAACAGTAACTCAGATGTAACTAAATGCAGTCATGGGGATTGGTGAACCCATGAAAGTTTCCAGATGGTGAAAATGGAACTGCCCAGAGCTTGCTACTGGCAAATTACATCTGAGGAGTGAAATCCTCAGTCCAGACTTATTCAGCTAAACTCACTGAGTCAAGGAGTATTTTCCTCTAAGCAAAGAACACTTGACAATTGGATTTAAAAACATTTTGAGTATGGGACAAAAGGATCAAAGCAAAGTCCCCAAAAAGCCTTCTGAAATTAAGAATAAGGAAAGAGATTTAATGAAATAAAGAGACAGAGGAAAGTTCAGAATTAAGTAGCTTTTTACTCCTATGTCGTGAGAAGCCTTATATGGCCCCGGTATTTCTTGCCCACCCACCTTCTGGTCAGATACATAAGCTTTAGTTTCTTGAGTCTTCCCTCAGGGGGAAAGGAACATTTCCACAAGAAAACAAAATTTAGTTACACAATCCAAGTCTGTACCCACCTCAAGGTTGTTTTGTTTTGTTTTTGCTTCCTTTGTGAATAAGAATAAACTGCCCTTTGGAACATGTAATAAAATCTTTTACTTGGCTATGGGGAGTTGCTGACTTAAGAAAATCCCACATAATGAAAATAAAACACAACAGAGAGGAGACAGGCAGGCCTGTATGTGCAACTAAATTCTTTGCAGTCCTCACAGGAAAGGGCAAAACATAAACATTTTAAATGTAACATCACTGTACATGCTTGTTTTATAATGCAGTTTTCTCTGATCCTCTGCAACAACCTGTTAAGCAACCTGTGATTGCAGAATAAAAAAAAGTTTCAAATGTCCAAAATCCAAAATAAAATTCCCAGTCCTGCAAGTCATTGTTCATAGAAGTAATTCTTCGTGCAGGAGTATAAGAAACTCATACTAGCTTCCTGACTATTCTATAGAATATATAAATTAACTCGTTTATGCTCTCACTGGGAGCAGGAAATATTGGCTATTTTATTTTCGGCATTCTGGACCCAATCCTGAGGACCCAGCAGCAACACTGCAACATAAGAGGGGGAACCTCCCATGAATAAAACTGAAAAAGTAAAGCTCATTTAAAGGAGTGATAATAGAAAATAAAATTACACCAAAAACATCTGTGAAGTCTCCTAAATGCTTGGACTTCTGGTGAATTTTAAGTCTAGCATGAACAAACTTAATGTTCACAAAGTACTGATGAAGCCAAAGAATTTAATTTGAGTCCATAATAACTTCTCCTTTGAGACAGCAGCTTTGGGACCTGAATATTAAGTATTTAATAATATGTAAAATATGTAATAATATGTAAAAAAACCTTAACCAGGGTCTTAACAATGCAAGAAAATTCAGACTTTTCCAAGACTGTTGTTACGTCAGGTGAAATCCACAGTACCAGCTAATAAGAACTTCCCCTAAAGTCTGAGTATGGGTCATATTATAAAAGTAAAATTAATTCAATCTCTGGTTTCTCTTCTCTTCCTCAGTCCCTGGACATTTGTGTTCTAAATTGTGTTCTAGGTCTTCGTGACCACCAAAACCACAAAGGAAGCTCAGTCAAAGCTACTGACTCTGAATTGGTTTGGGCAGCAAATTCACAAAATTCACAAATGCCACCAAGTTTCAACAAAAAACCAGACACCTTCTCAGACCTCCTCGAAAGGTTCACAGATCTGTGATGAATGTGGGCTGGTGTCTGGGAAACCATACCAGATGAGTCTTCCTGTGACTTCATGCTCTGCTAGAGACATCCAGAGCCCCATTTATTTGAGCCATCAAGTTTCCCCAGGCAGTGCTGGAGCAATACAAGCGGTACTTTGCCCGAGACCCATGCCCTCATCCCTTACCAAGTCATCTCCTGTACATACTCACGTTTCCTCTGTTGAGATAGACTGTGACTTGACCCTCATCTCTGATCTCAGAAAACATAGGTGCTCCAACCAGCAGGTCTGACAACCCATCAGAATTCAGATCAACTGCACATAAGGAGGAGCCAAAGTAAGAGCCCATCTGTAACCAAGTTGAGTCACAACAAAGCATTCAGTATCTGCCCACACACAGGAGGAAATCATAAAGGCGTGGCTTTTATTTGTTTTGGTTATTCTTTTAATTTCACATCATGACTTACTGCTTTATCGCTGACAAGCACTCCTACAGAGAAAGCTTTGGGAATAATTCTGGCAGGAATTAAAACACTTTACTATTACAGTGCATCCTGGATGTTCTACCAACAGGAGTTATAACCTGGGTCATGCTTAAGTGAGACACTTAAAGAGCTTTCTCAGACTAGCTTTCTCTTGCCAAATGCTTAAAACTAGGAAGGGGTGAAATGAGTTTCCCAAACCAGACCCAGGCAGTGATTATTCATGCCCAGTCCTTGAAGCTGGGTACCACAGACGATCTGGGGATACCTTAAAGAGATAATGAAAGGAAAAAAGAAAAAAATAGGCAAGAGGTGGGGTATCCATAAAAACAGGTATCTAAAATTGACTCTTCATTGTGGACTATCTTTCCTTGTTCTAGTTCTATCTATTTGTATCAGTCACCATCAAAAAAGTACCAGTTGTGGGCCTTGACCATAACCTTTCCTCTTATGTACCAGGCAGGTGAGTTGATACAGAAACAAGAACTTCAGTAAAAGCTTTTCAGCTGATACACAACAAACCTCAGCCACTTTTAATCTCCACTTATTATTGCTTGATAAACTTAAGTTCTTAAAATTAGGAAATACATTAATTTGATTCCAAGGGCTTTTATATGGGTGAACATTAAATGCTAACCTTCTCCCAACCAGCACCCACATTACAAATTTCAAACAACATTAAACACATGAATGAAACCAAAAGCAAGAATGATAATTCACCCTTATTTCATCCACTCCTGCTCAAGTAACACAAGGCATACTCTTTGAAACCATCTACAAACCATAGTCTCAAAATTAAAAGCAGCTCCCACAGGAAAATGGGAAAGATACCATTTCATACTTGAAACTGTGAGCTGTTTACCAAGCAGGAAACACTGAGGTTAAAGAAATCATTATTTAGGTTCAAAAAAATGAACCACATTTCTTGAATGCTTTTACATTCCTCATTGCAGATCTCTGACCTACTGCCTTCCATGCCTGTAAGTTTATATGCATGAGCCACAGCTATTGGATATGCTAGAAGATGGGCAGCAGCAACTCTATTCTGTGCAGTCTGTAAGATTTAAAAGTTGCTAAATATATCAGGCAGGGGTAAGTGAAGGATAGCCTTTCGGTTTGTTAATTAGGATTTTTGTGCTTGTATGGGACTAAGGTCAGACCTCAAACATCATTTGAATCCAGTTATTTTGCAGCAAAAGTTCCCTTAGGGATTTGTATTTGTTTATTTTTTTAATCCACTATGGTTTTAAAAGAAATTTCTCATGGTTAAAGAACAGAAGTTATGAAATGCATTTCACTATGTATTCAGGCAGTTTTCAGGGAAAGGCTATGAACTGCAACATGGTAGGTCTGCAGCATGGGTGAGTTCACAGTGCTGAAGTTTGCATATTTAACATTTGTAACAAGGTTCTTGCATTTTCTTCTTTCCTGTCTCCATTAGATTTCTTAGTTCAGCCTCTATCAATAAAAAAGGAAGGAAGAAACTGGCCTGCTGTTAACGTCTATCTAACAGGAATGTCAGAATAATGAATTCCACATCACTGGGAAGGATGTAGCATTTTGTGACAGCTTATTTCCAGGCAGTGCTCATTGCTGAGCAGGTCTGGTTATGTTTCTACCACAAAACAAAAACAAACAAAACCTCAAACAAAAACAAATAAAAATCCAACCAAAAAAAACCAACCAAACAAACAACAAAAAAGGCGATTCAGCACAGCATTCTCTTTAAAATAAAATTCTCAACTGGATTTTAGAGAATTTGTAGAAGAAGATGCTAATGGGAATGAAGGAGATGACAGCCTAGAAGTACACTTGAAGGATGTAAATACTTGATTAGTTAAGTTATATATAACAGCAAAACAATCAAATTGAAAAGGGAAAGTTTTTGGCTGAAACCTCAAAACCTCCTGATAGCTCTATTTATTAGGCTGAGGAATAGCCAGAAGCACATCCTTAGGGACACTTAAAACTCAACAGGGAAAGAAATGAACAGGAAGTAATCAAACACAGCAGATGCCCTGGATGAACTGGGAGGTCTTTTCTTTTCAAGACATCTGTAATTCTGCTAGTGCAGTAAAGTAAAATTTTGGAGAGGCCCTAAAATACAAGTAACACCACCCACCTACATATCCTTGCAGTTTTCCCCTGTTCCAGGCAAGTTTTTAAAGACTGCAACTGTGTCTTGCTTGGAAAAAATAACAAAATATGATAACACTCCCAGCTTCCGGTACTTCTGAGGTTGGCAGGTCTTCCTAGAGCCAGAAGCCACCAGTACTTCTGTGATGACTCTGCCATTATTTCCCCACCACCACCTCTTAACAGAAAACACACACTTATAAATGCTCACCTTTTTTCCTGAAGCCTGAAAAATCTTTATTAGAGAGCCTGATCGTCTGTCTGTTCTAAAAATATAAACCTGAAAGGTGAAAAAAAAAAATGTTAAGCAATACTAATTATGAAGCCCGTAATGGTACAGCACTGGTGTTTTCTAAACAATATCTAAATCATGATCATGGCCACAGCTATTGCCAAGATCCAACTTCACGACCCCTTTATTGTTCAGTCTTCTTTTAAAAGATGAAACAGAGCTCCTCATTGTGCTGATGAATCACAGGCTTCTTCTCATAACAAATGCTTGAATGTTATCTTGTTGCCTATTTTTTTTCATATGCATGTGTGTATGTGCACATGTGTGCATTTAAAAGCACCTAGCAAAGCAACTTTCTAACTCTCAAACAAGTGGCATCTGGAGACTGTCTGGAAATTAGCAGGGCAAAAAACTGAGAAGGCATAACCCTGTTGCCCTTCTCTTATCTAGCATTCCCTTCTCAAGGCCATGTGCCTGCACTACTGCACTGCAAACTTCAGAGTAGAAATCCTGATCACGCTACCAAAGGCACGTACACTGTCTGTATCCGAAACAACCTGTAAATTAGAAAACTGTTCAAACGTACTCATTCCTCATTTCCACAGGAGAAACTGTTTAATCAGGAATTCTTGGGGATGAAAGTATTCATACAAGTTCAAGAACAGATCTTGTAACAAAATTTAAGATGTAAAATGCGTGGCTTGTGGAAAGGGATTCCCTTCAACATAAAGGCTGGCTAAATCAGCCTTTGAGGTTCCTCCAGCACTTGACAGATTCCCTCCCAGCAGGTGCTCCCAGAGTTTGCAAGACAGAGGATCCTTTACTTCCAAGGCTACATGGAGAAGCCAAGCACTTGACATAGTTGAACATGTGGTAAGTTACTAATAGGTGGTGAGACAGAGTTCAAAGCTGTTTCCAGCAAAAAACACAGCACAGATTTACTGGACAATCACCCTCTATATAAGCAACTCCTTATATAAGCATCTGCAGTGCCAAGCTTAGCAGAGACAGCACATTGCCAACTGTCACAACTCCAAACCCAGTCTTAATAATGATGCTTTTGGTGACTTCAGAGAAATGATAAAGTCTCATTAAGAATCCCTGGCTCTACTTTCAGTGAAAAAGTGTAACAATGCTAATAACTTTCTATCAAGGAAGTGGAAAGGATTAGCTTTTTGGAGGGTATGGAAAGCACAACAGGACTGCTTATTGTAATGTTCTGTATTCAGCACTGCTTACCGCCACTTAGCCGCGTGTTCCTGCTACCTACATCCCAGAATAACGTGAGCTATTGCAACCAGAGCAGTAGTCTTTAAACTGCAGGACCAGCTGCTTTCTCATGGATCTCATGTTAGCAGCTGGGGTTTTTTTCCTCCCTCCTCATACAGAAATTAAGTTTGTTCCACAGAGAAAACAGGTTGGAAGGAAGGTGCATTGCAGCAGCCATAACAGAACACCTGGGATAAGGAAACTACGTCTTTCTCATGCACGTCCTCTCAACAGCAACGCTGCTATATCCTGTACCTCCTAGTCACGCCAGATCAGGTATACATACCAAGTTCATCCTCTAATTTTATCCCATTTTCCCCACTCGCACTGCTCCCCCCTGTTACGTGGCTACCACGAAAAATAATCTGCCTAAACAGAATATTGTTCCTGGTACTGAAGATGGTACTGAAGATCTCTCACTCCTTGTTATGATTCAGGTACAACTCATGTGACTACAGAGCAGGAAAGCCAGAGGGAGGAAGATGGAAAGGGGCTGCAGGACATCTTTGCTCAAGCAAATGGTGGCAGCAGGTCCCAAAAAGATTGGATTTTGAACAAAGAGGGGAAAAAACCAGATCCTTTACATCCCTTTCCTCCCTCTCCTCACTCCCGCTTTTCCAGCTTTGGTTTAGTAGAGTTTGAGGGGTAGCAGTGCTCACTCTCACCCAGTTTCCCCCATAGCAGCTGGGTACTCAGCATAGGAACACAAGGCATGTCTAACTCACCAGTCACTTCCACCTCGCCCTTCACTTGCTTTCATCTTTGGGACATTGAACATATATATGCCTACAGGAAAACCTTTTTTGTTTCTTTCCTTCTTAAGAGACTATCTCCAAGATTTCTAAGTACAGCTAGCAAAAACCTAGATTCTAATCTACAAAGCATCAGTGTATTACAAAGCTTTAAAAATGACATCAAGTAAGTACCTAAAAAGTACCTTTTCATACTACTAGATGTTACCTTGAAGCAAATACTGAAACACGCAAATGTATGAAGAAAACAAGCAAAAGACAAATTCTCTTTTCAAAGTTTTTTCATTTCTAGGAAAGCTTCAAGTAATACCTAAATGTCACAAATCCTAAACAAAAGCAGTGTGAAAGAAACGTTTGTGTCTCACTAAAATGGGTATTGTAAGGATTGGGTGGGAAAGAGAGGAGAGAGGGGTGAGGGATTTGAGGCACCAGGAGGAAGAAGCAGAGAAAATTTCAGGACTTCATCAAACTACCTCACCTCTCCCCTGCTTATTGCTTCAAAACTGCTATGCAGACAAAAAACTTCTGGCTTCTCATACATGTTGAAACTGCATCAGTATTATGGTTTTTGCCCTGTTGAATCTGACCACATCATTGTTTGACAAAGAGACACACCTTTCCGATACCTCCATCCTGGGGAGCTCCTCCTACAATGTCAGTGGTAGTCGGCTGAGAGAAATGACCTGCTGTCACCGCATATCCTGAGTGGGAGAGGAAATAAAAAAATTGTTAAATAACCATGAAAGGAAAGAGCCCGAGCAACAGGTCAGCCAGCTGGATCATGCTCATTGGGTTTCACTGCTCCTGGGCTGCACACAGTTAGTGTTCAACAGCTACTCTGCTCAGAATGCACCAATACTTTGCTCAAAAGCTCATGGGGATGGGAAGAGACAGTACACCCTCCAGTGCTCTTGCAAAAGCTGAGAGAAAAAAGCCATGTGTGTGGAGATGAGTAAGGGACATGCAGAGCTGGTAGTGGGACCAGTTTGCCAATGGCAAGTCAAGAGAGGGAAGCAGTAAAACAGGAACAAGCACACACAGAGAAAGGAGACCATATCACCACAGGGAAAATATCATGTCAAAGAGCAACAGTCCCACAGGGACCTGAGAGAAGTGTCCTCCTTTGCCTAAAATCACTGCCCAGGAAGCCTTGGAAAATTATGTTCTTTTTTGATAGGGGAGAGAGCAGAGAACAGGAGGCAAAGAGGCCAGAGATATTAATGGCTTTAAAAGATTTTTGTCTAGGCAAGAAGAAAAATGGGAGGATAGATCAAAGAAAGAAGAACGTATTTGAAAGATTCAGCTATAATTGATTTATTAAAATAACATATAACAATATTATATATAAAGATAAGTAGAGTAGCTTTCCTTCTAAGGCTCTCTTGTATTCGCCTTGCTCTTCTGCCATAAATTGTGATGCTCTTGTCTACATGGTAAACCCTATAATTCAAGTCTATCAGTGGCAAAATCTATTTATATTTGCAAATAGCTAAACAGACACCCTTCATTAGCAGTACCTTCCAAGTGGTATTTTTTTAAAGACTAAAGGTTAAGGGGAAAATGGGAGGTCAGTCAAATGGGACTTTAGTCAAACAGTATCAAACTGTTTGTAATGCCCTCTAAGTTTTAACAGTCTTAGGCACTGAAGATTGGGTGGAAGCCTTTAAATTAAGTATTTTATCTGGTTTTAGAGCAAGTAAAACCAATTGAGTTAACAGTGTACCTATAGCCAAACCTGTCACAACTTCCTTTTGTTAACAATGTTATTTTGCTGAAATAAATTTGTATGTGGAATATACATTCTGTAATTAGTAGTTGTACCCATTTTAAAGGCATGTAAAAGCAGACACAGTTTAACTAATGGCACATAATTTGCCTGTCACAGGGCAAAGGCAGGAATGTTAAGAAGCCCACTAAAATCCAATATACTGTTGAGTTCAAAAGCCTTTTCTATATTATTCAAAAAGTTACAGGCAAGTTGGGGTTTTTTTAAAACAAGGAAAGAAAAATGTAATACTCAATAGGCTTCTTTGCTTATATTTCTTTCCAGACAAGTAACACTTTAATTCAGATGTTCTTCCTTTCACGTGTTTCATAAAAATACTCTACATCACCATAAAAAAATCAGTATCAGCTTTTTCATAGCATCAAAGCCTTGAAATATGTTGCTGGACTATCATCTTTTCACAGTGAGCATCAGAGAGCTGCTTACCAAGGTATGTGTACCGCCTGGCTATCACGGCGTCATCGTTCAGCTTGTAATACGTGTTGTCAGTGAGATTTAGCACTTTGACAGTTCCTGTCCAATAATACGATCCTGGTGCCCCCATGATGACCAGCTCCTACAACAACAAAAATGGAAGCGTGTGGGGGAAAGGATGGGAGGAAAAAAAAACCAATCAAAACTGGACAGAAATACATGCTTTACACGTTCATGGAGAAGAGACAGGATATTTACTTAAAACACCAATTAGAAGTCCATTTGTAACAATCTTCATTCTGTGTGCACATGGAGAGTATCCCTCCTTCTGTCCAAACGTGGAGGTCACTGTATACACCCTAGAGACACACTGCCCTTTTACAGTCCCTTTCTGCTCAGCTGTTCTGCTGCAATAGAACACCCTCCTCAGTTTTACTAACCATCAAACTTATCCCTGCTAACATAGGTTTCCCAAAAATCTCTCCATCTGCTGCCTTTCCCAAGCATCCTTCAGAAGACCCGAGGACAGAAGCACTCCAGCCCACCCTGACGCACCACTCAGCTACAGATCGTGCCCCAATGCTGGCTTTTGATTTTGATTTTACAATTATGAAGCTAAAGAGGTGCCACTTGCTCAAGAAACAGGGGGTATATTATGCCATAGTTGGAACATTTTGCCTACGCTCTGGTCTTTGAGAGACAACGTAGCTATAGAATCATCACAGAATCATAAAATGTCTTGGGTTCATTACAGACAACCAGCATGATTTATCATTCTAAAAGACTGTAGAAATCAGGCAAAGTTTGATCCAACATGAATCAAAAGCTAAGGTACATTTGCACACAAGACAAATTCAGAAAATGTTGCCCCAAAGCATCCAGCATCCTTGCAGGGAAACTTTACTCCTGCCTGTGGTTTTGAATACCTCCAACAAGGGACCAAATTAAGCCTAGGTAAGTTCTCCATCCCCAAAGACACATGGACAGCTGCTTTGTCCCACATCTCCATTCAGTGTAAGGCCGTGGATGGACTCCACCCTTGTGGGAAAATGCTCTCACACACAGGTCCCCTTTGGGTGACCTGTTCTAGCTGGGATTCTCCTACAGGGACAGGACTGCAAACCCAACTAAAGAGCAGGATGTGCTTTGAAATAGCTTCTTCCTTGTAAGGGGCCATGCCTGTGAGGTCAAAGGATCATTTACTGATGGGAACAACTACCATCCACAGCAATGAATATATGGCAAGGGATTGCCTGTTTGACCCAAAAAGCCATTTATCTCCATTTCCTGCTGCCATCAGGCTGAAGCAATAAAGTTCAAAGATATCTTTTGAACTAGGGTAGCAAAGGAGGATTTAAGCATGGGAACAGAAACAGGATGGAAAGAGCAGACAAGCCAGGAAACAGCTGCTGCTAGCTGAACATCCAGTTACCAGATAGTGCCTCTGTGGTAAATTTGCCTGCCATCCCAGTTTACTGAAATGGCAGAGGAAGATTTTCTGAGAGAGAAGACCTTTATTCTGTTTGTATCAGCCTTGACAATGCATTCCACAAATCAGTGCATATATAATTAGAGTGAGTGTAGGTTCTTAAAAAAAAATCTAAAAAAAAAAAATAATCCAAAAACCAAAACCAACCAACCAAAAACACATACATACACACACACACACACACACAAAAAAAAAAAAAAGGCAAAAGATCGCAACCCTGAAACATTGACCAAAAAATCATGCATACATAAGGAACAAATTCATCCTTGACATAACTAAAACATAGCTGATAGACTTCTGTCCAGGAAACAATATGGTCAGGTATTTAGAACAGCTCTGGAACATATATTTGACCATCCTGTTTTTTCTCCACATTTCTGCAACAAGGAAGTGTAGTAGAACTGAAAAAAAGTGTTTATCTTCTGTATGTATGTGCATGATATTTACCCACACGTACACACACGTAGACAAAATGATTCAGGGAGGACTGTTGTACATCATCACTTACAGTAAAGAGTTAATGACAGACACAGAAATAGCTCTATGCGAGTTTTGGGATGTACACAATAAGAACATCCCCTGAGTACATCTCCCAGAGTCAATTCATTGATTCTTGTCCACAGACCTTGAGAGACATACACATGATGTATGAACCACTGGGCAAGATGCGGATGCCTGGGAAGCCAGACAAGGCAGGAGGGTGTTTGCTGGCAGGAAGGGACCATGCTCAACGCTCAGCCCGCTGTCCAAGCCATGCTCAGGGGTCTCCCCCTTTGACCACGCAGTGGGAGAGCTGCTCACCAACCCCCCACCCTTCCATGCATGTGCCTCTGCTCACCTCGGTGAAGAAGCCTGCGATCCCTGCCTGGCATGAACCGTGCTCCTCCCCATATTTCTTCTTGTACTCTGGATGGGAGAAGGGAAGAAAACAAACTGTGGTCATCCCTGGCACAGCACACGCTCTCCACCTGAGCCACTACACACACAGCCTGGAGAGACACCAGCATGCAGGGCTCCTGGGTTTTACTAGCGGATCTGCCACCAGCATGCACCATGCGGCACACTCACCCACATCAGCAGGCAAAGCAAGGGGCCAACCGGACAGACAGCCTGAATGCTGCCAGGGAGATGCTAAACAAGCACTTTCACAGCAGTATGACAAGAGCAGCATGGCCCCAGTCAAGGTGCACCAGAAGGGGCTCCCATCTGTGGCAGACAGATCTGCCGGCTGGAATGGCGGTAGCAAAAGGTGATACGCGTGGCTGTGTGCCACTGACCCTGCGCTAGGAGCTTTAACCCACAGCACCATCACTACCTCAGAGAAATAAAGTGAGCTTTCCCCACAGTGACAGGCACCAAAGCCCCAAGAAACATTTCTGGTGGAGGAGTGCTGCAGGACACCAGCCCCAGGAAGAAGAGAGTGAGTGAGGAAAGGGCACTTGTGTTCTACATGATGGAACAGCAGCTTCATTCGCTGGATCTGCTGCTTTTCACGGCCACTTGCTCAAACCTCCCAGCTCACAGGGAACCCACCGGCACCCTATAGGTTTTGTTTCTGTATTTTACGTAGTAGTTGTTTGCCCCGTCAAACCCGAGGAAGGTTTTTATTTTTTTTGATGAAGAGGAAAAAATTATTTTTAGAAATACATTAAAATTCAGGGCAAGGAGGAGAAGAAAAGAAGAAAAAAGAAAATCACTCTTTGACTTGCCTTAATCTAAACATTTTCAGCTTATGAGCATCTGAAACTTAGAGCTGGATCAGAACCTTTGTAGTTTTTTTCCAGGGCATTATTTTCCAATATCTACCATTTCCTGTATATTACAATAATTCAGGCTCAAAAAAATATATAATTTGATAATTGTGAAACTTTTAAATATTTTTTATTTTAAAAGCCCCATTAAAACTCACTGTTAAATGATAAAAATTTTAATAAAATAATAAACAAATTGCCTCTTTGAAATCAAGCAAGGCCCTTTGAGTTGAACTTTATCTTATTGAAGATCAAAAGGAATTAATTATAATTATGTTCTCAGAGAATTTTTTCAAAACATTGTGTGTAGACATATAAACACACACCCCCATTCTCCCTTTTCTATTGTATATAGTCTCTTCCTAATACCATATGTTCAGATTTTCAGAAATTCACTGAGGTCATACCAGTTGCACAGGGTGAGGCTCAGTTGGAGAGACCATGCAGAACAGAGAGTTGATCCACAAATTACAATCCAAATGCCTTGGCCAAGGCAGAGTCCTGATGTGTGTCTCAGCAGACCAGGAAGGCCAGAAACATAGTTGTGTTTCCTCGTAGGAATGCACGATAACAATTGCACTTAGAACTGAAGTCCGTATTTGCCCATAGCTATGCAGAAACTGCTAGGGCTTTGAATAGCTAGCTCTCCACATACAGTCTCTCATAGAGCCAGGCAGTCTTTGCCCGAGGAAAAAATATTTTTTTATTGATGTGAACATTTTTTTAATTCAGAAAGCCCAGGAGAGGAGCTTTATCCCTCCAGGATTTCCTGAAAAATAATTCTGTGCATGCCCTAAAGGCCCTGCCTTTCCTGCATCAGGATTCCTACCCCTACATAGCATGGAATACAGAAACGCAATGAGGAAGGCCAAGGCCCATTTGGAATTAAATCTGATGAAGAATGTCAAGGATAACAAGAAAGGCTTCTTCAAATACATCAACAACAAAAGGATACTAACAAAAATGTGAGCCTACTACTCACATACTGTATGGAAACAGGGACCCTCACAACAGAGGTTGCAGAGGAGGCTGAAATACTGAATGCCTTCTCAGTTGCCTATTTGGAAGACTGGGGTGACATCTGCTTTCTTCCATTACTCAGGCCTTCTTTGCTTCAGTCTTTACTACCAAGGACAGTGACATTTTACAAGTGCAAATGGAAGCACATAGTCCCAAACACCTCAGACACTGGGGCTGTTTGAGAATTTAAACCTCTACTGACACAGAGCAGAGATCAGGACCACATTTTGGGGGGCTCCTGGATTCCAGCCTAAGCCTTTCAGCACAAAACCATCCCTCCTCGTCAGCCCACCTAACTTCCATCTGCAGTGGCATATGCCCGCCTCCACACCCAAGGGGAGTTCCTTTCCACCCATGCACCCATGGTCACAGCCAAGAGTAGACATCCATCCTGGACAGTCATGTCTCAGCATCACTGACTTCTGCCTCCTCCCAAGGGCCAGTCTGCCTCTCACAAGCAATGGATCAGCCCAAAAGGAAAGAAAACCAAGACTGCTTCTACCTCCCCTCCACTTCGGTGCATGGTACTGGTACCTGTCACTCGTATGACACAGCCATCCATCCAACAATCCATGAAGTGAAGCAATCAACTAGATGGAAATCGTGCAGTTATTGTATCAGCTCACAGCTTTTGCACATCTGAACAGCAACCCTTGCATGAGGTTTTAGATTCATTATTTTCCAGGTAGCCCCAGGCAGTGTCTGCTGCCATGGACAGATGTGTTGTTTCCACACTTGTTTATTGTTCTTTCTTGTCTTCTGCAAACTGCTGTGCACCACCGTTTACAGAGACTGCAAGACACTAAACTGCTGCAGCAAGAGCTGATAGCAAAGCATCTGGAGGATGTTGCTGTCTGTGCAACTTTGAAGATGTGCCATGAAGAGAAGAAGACGGTAGTGATTTGCAGCCAGGATGATCTCAAGTTACAAGTGAAGGCTGAGGAAGGAGTAATTGGATAAAACAATGCACAAATAAAAGGAATAAGCTTTGATGTGTGTTGTTGTTTGATTCTGAAGGCCAATGACCATCACCTTCTTCTCTGAACAAACCTATTTGCGAGTCTCTAAAACTTCAATGGCATAATATAGGTTAAGTTCCAGAGTGCAATAAAATCCTGTACCTACCATCTTCATAGATGTAAACTATCGTTTGCACTGAAAGCTTTTTCACTCCTTAGTGTTTCTACTCTATGAAGAAACAGTAATAACCTGTCTGACCTAGCAGTGTGATACTGAGTTTCCACCACAAAGCAGGGACGTTTTTTCTGGTTCCCAGAAAACCAAAAGCGCTTTAGACTCTGTGGGAAAACTTATCCCTTTGGAAGCAAGGCATGTGAGCATGTGCTGTTGCCCTTATTTACTAACCAAAGAGACCATCAGTCTTCCCCACTGCCACCACTAATTCTTACCATAGAGGGGGAGGAAAGCACTCCAGCTCTCCCCATCGGCCGGACTGTCTCTCACAGTACACACAGTCACCCTTCTTTGCAAACTGAATGCATTGGGGAAACGAAGAGGCAGCTTCCTTTTTTGGAAAGCCATTAAAACTACAGGAAAAATAACCAGCTGAAAGCCTTGACTGGAAAACTGTGGCTCCATACGTCAGCTATACCACAAAGGACATCCAGCTCATCCAAACCAGATTAGTTCCTACTGAGACAGATTGCATTTAAATATTAGGCTCCCTTGTTGATCTCATTTTTTTCTGAACTGCTTCCAGACTTCCGTCACCCCTTTCAGGAAAGTCAGACAATAATAAGATGGACTGAAACTACTATGCTGCTGCACCACTACCATCTAGTCAGATAATTTCCATTTCCTCCATGGATGGAGACTGATGTGCACCCAGCCAGCCTGTACCCTCTGCCAGTTCAGGCTTACAGCCTTAGCAGCACTAACAGCGGGGCCTCTGGAAGGGAGCAGGCTACAGTCCACACCTCTTTGCACTTGGTGAGACACTGGAATCTCATCAAGCCAAGGCTGTGGGGCAGGCTTTGCAGCCGTGGGTCTGGCAGCCTCCCAGCGACGGCCGCAGAGGCTCTCAGTGTAGAAGCACTTCAAACTTGACGCTTTGGGCTGTTCCTCAGCGTCAGTGGAGGAAAATTTCTTCTGCTCCTTCCAGGAAGTGAAGGAAAAAAGTCACAAGGATGACTGCAAACTTATTTCAGAGCAAACCTTAAACAACGAACTCTTCTGTGTGACATATGAGTTATCTCTCTCTTTGAGCTTGTTTTATTGAAATTTAAAGATTCGTGAGGAAACAAATGCAGCCAACCCTCATGAAACTGTGATTTCATGTCTGATGGGGCAAGGGAGGTGGGTGGAAATCACTCCCAAACTTTCAATTTTCACTTCAGCATGCAGTGAAATTAAGCCAGCATCTTACTGCACCAACCCTGCCAACTTTCCACTGGCTGTTCTGCACGTACTAGGCCCACACAATTCTATTTTCTAGCAATTCCTGGCAAATATCCTGTCTGATTAACAGCAGTTTTACTCCAAAGACATGACGCACAGATAAACACAAGCCATTCGTCTCTTCCAGAAACCACCTCCCTGCCACGGCTTCAGCAAAGACAATTTTAAGGCAGTGCAGGAGCAGTGCCACAGGCTCAGAGGGAGCCCCAGCAGCATCCCTGTGTGTGTATATGCACCATAAAGTTAATACTGGATGATGTGCAGTGTATGGCCTCAGTGTGAGGCCTTATCCCGATTTTGCTGACAAGTAACAAGGAGGGCAGGGGGGCAAGGAAGTACAAATACAGTAGGGCAGCGCTCACAACAGAAAGGCTTACAAAGCCTTATTTGTACTCTGCTGCCCAGCAGTTGGCATGGCTGGGTGAAGACTTCAAAACTTCTCACATATCAAATAATCACCATTTTCAGCAGTGGGAAATGCTCAATGCACAGGTGCATGTCATCTCCAGAACATACGTAGGTTTGCAATGTCAGATCCCCAGGCAAAGCCCAGAGGGAGGTAAGGAGCCACCTCAGTAGAAAAAGTGGGCATGAAGAGGACAGAGTTCTGTCACAGAGCAGGCTTCACAGGCCACCCAGATAGGACACAGCCACTCACCAGCAGCAGAGAAACTTTCCAGGACATCCTCTGCCTTATCCCTCTCCCACCTGCTGCTGGTTGCTGCCAACTTTGAACAGGAGGGCAAATGGATAAAAGTAAATAAGTAAATAAAATCAGAGTTCTTGTCCACAAGAAGAACATCTTGTCCTTGAAACTTCCATGCTTCCTCAAGCTCCTACAGTCAATAAGTGAGAGATGATGCCCAGGACAGAAAGGAGAAAGCAAGTGGTTGCTTTCCCCAAAATGTTTCTCTCAAGGCCAAGAAATCTTAGGAGATACCCTATTTTCTAGATACACTCGTGCCTCTAGTTTTGTTAATTGCTCTTGGCCAAGAAGACACTGCCTCCTGAAGTCTTTAAAAAAAGAAACACAAGACAAGAGTCTCACATGCACCAGAGAGGGGGAAATTAAAATGCTGCCACATGTGATTTGGAGCAGAACAAACAGGCACAGCCATGGCTCAGAGCTGGAGCCATCCCCCTGCATCTATCTCACACCCAGACCTCTGGAGGATCCCAACAGGGACCTTGCAGCACCCAAACCACAGCAGCGATTTAGTATAAACTGTTGCAGAAGCATCCCAAAGTGAGCAAAGCAAGCCTTCCCCCTGCCCCACCTCCTAATCCCCCGATAAATCACAGTGCAAAAATTAAAGTGTTTCCATATGATAGGCAAATTGGTTCATGATTGCAATATAATTCAGTATTTTTACTCTGTGCCACAGTGAAGCATTAGAAGTCAAGCTCAAATCAGTATCTTCTCATTATTTATGTTAGGAGAGAGCTGCTGCCTCAAAAACACAGTTCAGAAACTTATTATTCCTGCAGTAAAGTGCAACCATGCACTTTACCACTCACGGGGTCCATTCAGTCATTGTGCTGCTCTCCCAGCTTCATCCAAAACCCAACTGCCACCCCAGCTGTGCCACTGGCAGCCACACATTACCCCAAAAAAACGAAAAAGAAAAATATCAGTAGTAGTGAGTTACTGTGGTAGTCAGTGTATCAAGGAGGGTAAACCCCACTCCTGGTCCCACAGTCCTTACCTTCATAGCAGGGCAAGAGCTTTCTCCCATTGGACTGCAGGTTGGGAGGAATGATGTTGCAGAAGCCATGGGGCAAGATGTACTCTGTCTCATAGTAGATGTTTTTCCAGCGGTGTGCACATGCCTGAATAGATCATATCACATGGGTTATTAGCCCACAGTCATAGGAGAGCCCCCTGACCAAGGCAGAGCATGCATGAACAGGACCACTCAGCATCACCTGTTATCCCACAACCCCATTGCGTTCTCTGTACATCCCACTCTTTCCAGATAAAGTATCTTCTCCTCACTGTTATCTTCTGCAGCTCATGACACTGCCTGACCTGCCAGCTCTGATCTCAGTCTTGGCATGTGCATGACTAGGAAAACAAGAGGGCTCAGAGCAAGACAGAGCTCATGCTGGAGATTCCAGGATCTCTTACTGTGTGTGAATCCTCACAGAGAGCAAAGCTTTTCTACCTAAAGGTGCACTAACAGAACCTAGCCAACCCAGAAATAAGTGAAAACCAGGAATAAAGACATTGAGAATACTTAGAAGGTTATTAAGACCACATTAGAAACTTATCCCACCACAGTGGGATTCATGTGTGAATCAAAGTCTTGTCTCCAGCAGGAAAGGTAGCTCTTTCTGGTGACAGATGTGTTGACACTTGCTTACTGGTAATGAATTTAAGTGAAAATGCCATAGATTTTGTAGCAACAAGAGTGGTAACATTAACCAAGGTGCAGATGAGTTGCACAGGTTGAAGTGCCTTTCCCTTCACAGGGAAGACTTCAACCATCCTGAAAAACCAGACTCACCAGGACACTTGCTCAGTGCAGCTGCCATGCACAGGCACACATGCAAGCAACGTGGAGCCTGGTTCACAACCTCACACAGCTCATTTGCTCCAAAGTTAACGCTGCACCTCTGCCAGACAAAGCACAAGTTGCCTCGTGCTCAGGGTTAACTTGGAATAAAAGGAAATGTAAAACAGCAAGAGCTTTGAGCTTGAGCACATGCCGGGGTCGTATCTCCAGCTGCTATGAGACTACATGGAAGTCAGCGTAGATGTGTCAATTTGTATCATTCACGGTTTGTCCCCATGCAAACAGAGCATTCTCTATGCTACAAATCCTCTCCACCACATACTTTCAACTTTTCCTCAAAACTTTGTATCAGCCCCCTTCACAAACTCCACATTTGACCGCATTCCCCCCAGGTGAGGCACCTTCAGTTTTCTATCCCTGTGTGCTACCCCACTTTTCTGCCTCAGCACCTCAGAGCTGCCCAAGGAAGCATCTCCACGTTGTTAAGAATTATATCCATCCATAATGCAGGCACAGTCGTGTCACCTCTCCAGTAAAGGACGTGGGAAGTGTATCAACCACTGGGAAGCTCAAATCCAGCCATAAACAGAGGCCACTTACCTCCAAAAAGACATAAACAGGTAACACTACTCCCACAGAGAAAAATCAGCTGAGCAAAAGCCTGTTCTGTATTAGCAGTGCTACACTTGGAGATTGATATTGTTTGCTTTCCTAACTTCCAGCGCTCAAGGAGAAGCGCACCCCTCCTTGAGATGGCTATCACAGAGGGACAGTGAGGGGCTCTGGGGGTTGTGGGATGCTCTTCACCACACTGTGTGGGGCAGGCTGTCAGCCGTGATGCAAAGGATGCTTCTGAGGGCAACCCTGCTCCACAGCCAAATGCATGTGAGAAGTACTGCAAAGAGCAGCTTTGGAGACTCCCTCATGTGCTTTAAGGAGGCTCAGTTATGATTTCAATCCCCATGCACTACTCATTCAAAATTCAACAGCAAAAAAAAACCCCAAACAGCATATGAAATTATTGTTTTCAGCTAACTGGGAAATAGTTTCTCTCCTGATGGATCTGTGCTGTGAGCACAAATACACACATGCACAGCCCTTTCAAAGACCATGCCATAAAGACAAATACCATTAAAGTGACAATCAAGTCAATCCCAATTCTGGATATAAACTTAAAAGGAAACAGACCAAGAGTACTTTTTTTAAAAATTATGGAAACATGAAGGATTGTGGTATTGTAAATTCCTTGACATTTTGTATCTTGGAAACTGCAAGGGACTCTCCCAAAGGAACACAAAGGATGGAGTCAGGGAGAGCAGGAACACTTCATCACAAGCAGGTGGCTTTGCTCAGGAGTGAGGTACAGAGGCCAAGAAAGACAGAAGAATGTAAGGAGAGAAAAAGCTCAGTCTAGCACTTTTGGGCTCGCTTACCTACTCTGTTAGGACTTGGATTTTGTTTGAGTTGTCTTTTTTTTTTTAATGATTGTTTTTCAGTACCTTCCTCATGATGTGCATTCATTCAGGCACACTATAGTTAACCACTGACTGCCTCAGTTTGTGGACCTCCAAGGGATGAGCTCCACCTTGGTTATCTAAGTCAGGGCTTCACCAGGCTCCCCCATGCCACAGCTACAGAATCTGACATTTCCCAATGGACAGGAGTTCTTCTTCCTCTTCAAAACTCACTTCTCTGCAGCCAGGCAGTGAGCACATTTGTCTCCCTGCCACAACAAAGCTTGTTCACAGCTGCTTTTGGTTTTCCTGCATTCCCCAAAGCATTTAGAGCTGATTACAGTACACTGTCGCTACATCATCCAATGTTGCTGAGGCAAAGTGATGTGCTACCAAAGGTGGCCAGAGCCTTCCTTCTCTGATAGCATATGTCTGAAGAGGTCTTTGGAACAGAGATGAGTCACCTGAATTCGATGCTCTGGAGCAAATTTTAATGGGTTGGTTGTTGGTTTTTTTTTTCCTAAGGTGATTGCAAACAACTGACAGCCAGTCTATGCACCCCATTTTACATGCAAGCTATGTGCATCAGCACACTTTGGTACTCAGCAGCTGCTGCCAGGACACAGGCCCAGCTCCACCATGAACAGAGGAGAAACTACCCTAAGCCTTGAAGCAAAATAAATGCTTCTGAACAAAGCGAGTTATCTGTTGATGGCTGACACTGCGTTACCCCAGTATAATGAACAGGCCATTTCAGAACTGCAGACACTTGGCTCTTTACATGTTGCAGCCGTGGGCTTTGCACCACAGGAAGAGCAACACAAGGGCGGATGTGGCAGGTATTTAGGAAGAACAAGGCTGAAGGATGGGGCTTATCTCCAAATCATAATGCACTGTCCCCGCTTCCTCTCTCAACAAAGGCAAAAGGAGGACTTTCACTGTTTCAGTTTGGAAAGACCTAGCAATCTCAGCTGTATTATTGCAGGACTGAGATTAATGCAAAGATGGACTGATAGTAGATCTGAGGACAGGAAACTTTCTTATTTAATCTTACTTCTTCATTTCTTCACATTCTCACTGTCTGATGCTTTCCTATTTAGTCTGTCACACAAACACAAAACTCTGGTTTAGTAACATCTGGCACAATATGGGCTTAAACACAATCCACATTTTACCAAACACTAGCTAAAGCCCCCTGGCTCACTCCTCAATATCCCTACTGCTCCTTTCCACTGAAGCTGGTACTCTTATCAGGCAACTGGGGAAGGCTGATAAGAGAAAAATTTAGGCCAGTAAGCAGTTACAAAGCAAAAGCAACAACTTCTTTATACAATCCACAGTTAAACTGTGAAACTAGTTAATCTAACACAGGACCTCAAGAGCATGAATATTTCACAGAGGCGAGTACACTTACTTATGCAAAACAAACAAACAAACAAAAAAACCCATCAGGGGCTATTGACCACAAAGAGATTAATTAGTCTGACTTAAAAGAATCCCTGGAAGAAATGCAGTAAATAGAGCTGTAATGTCTTACTATACAGACTGCACACACTCTTAACTAAAGAGACTCATTCATGTTAGCCAGTAATTTTGTTAAAAAACTAAAAATTTAGCAAATATGTCTACGAATGCACATTCAGATATGTTTTCTCAGAACACCAGTTTCTCAAAGGGGCTTCAAAGAAAAGCCACATTTTAAAGAAATACTGATCCTTAAAATTAGAAGAGCACACGTATTAAAAGCCAGCTGCTCATGGGGAAGTCACAAATCTTTTTCAGCAAGAAGTTATCCCAAAACAGAATAACAGTGACCTGAAACAGCCAGGTAATTTCCATCCAAAAAAGAATCTGCATACATTCATTCCAGACTGTTTACACACAGAAATGCACAGATATATAATTAGCAGTTGAAGAGCCAGCGCTTTGGTTATAAATATCAATGAGAATTATATATTTAAATATCCTCGAGCATCTGGACATGATCTACTTGGTGAGGGGCAGCATAATCTTGTCAGAAGGCTGGGTTAGGACTGCTTTAAATCAGTGTCACTTGTGGAAACATTTTACCAGCTTAATCTGCACTGAAATAAGCACATCCCCAGTTTCATATTTTACTTAGTTACATTTCACTTTTAACCTCCTTTATGTGTGAAGATTCTATCCCTTCAGCCCCACTTTAGGGCCTCACAGCCTGCCCATGTCTCTCACCCTTGTAGCCTCCACTCAGCCAGCCAGCACTCCCTTAATTTGCTGCTTCTGTCTGGGGAAAGACCCCTAAGCATCAGCTGCAACCTCTTTCCCTTTGAACCAAAATACACAAAACCATTATTCTTAAGACACAACATTGGCAAAAATGTTTCAGCCTCAAAATGTTTGCCTAAAAAAAAGAAAAGAGTACGAGCTAACTTCTAAAAACGGACTAGGATGAATTTGTCTAGTTCAGGCTGATGACTGGGCAATGAAGAGGATGCTGTGTTTTGAGGTAGCATTATCCTCAGTGCAAGTTACTCCTCAGTTGTTACACAGGACTGAGCACACATATACCTCAGGATAAATCTTGAAAGTATGAATAGCTTACACTAACCATGATTGCCTTAATTTTGCGCTCTGCTGTGTATGTTTACAGGGTATGTTATTTATACCTCTTTCTCCTCCCTTTCTCCTCTTATCCTGATCACATCTAAAAAATCCAAGAAAAGTAAAGCTAGCCCCTATAACACTGGCAAGCTGTACACGAAAAGAGAAGATGGGATAAAATATCACAGTACTGTCACATAAAGGTATTAAACCCACCTGGTCCCTTCCCAGGGAAGCTGGTGTGCAAGGATTTGGGGCATAACCATTTAGACTCTAAGCACATATTTAAAAAAATACCTTTGACAAAGTTCCATTTATTTGGTTCAAAGATATAATCCCTCAGGTCTAGGGAGAAGCCCTTGGGTGGCATGAGTCAGGTGTGATGGCTTGGAATTCTCCCTCTATAAACTGCATTTTCTGGCTGGGGGTTCACTTTGCCTTCCACTTGAAGGAAGGGACTACAGAATCTGCTGCCTCTTAACTCTGGACTCAGTCATTCACTGCCAAACAATTAATCCTGACATGCTTAGCATTAGAGTCAGACAGCAGCAACAGTTCTAATGGGATCAAAGAAAAGCATGGACTTACCAGCACACTTCCAGCAGCCTTTGGTTGTCTAGCCAGGCTCACACCCATCCATTCATCATCTCTGTCTTCTTTACACGTCTTTCCACAGAGTGTGCCCCGAGAATTGCCTACAGAAAGACAGGAAAGGCAGCAAAGCAAGGAGGCATGAGTTTTAAATACCCACCAAAGAATTCTGACAAGAAAAGAGATTGCCCTTTTAACATCTTATGGTGCTCTTCTTTCCTCCTGATTATTAGTTCTTGAATGCATTAATCGGGACAATGAATGTCCACCGCTCTACTTGAATAAACCATCAAATGATCAAGTCAATGGGAGAGACATCAGATTGCTTTCAGGATGCAATCAAAGCAAAAATTCCTCTTGAAAATGAGCTAGGGAGCACTTAAAAAAATAATGAGGATGAAATCTTTAGTCCTGTCAGGCAGCATTCACAAATCCATTATAGTTTACATTACAATAGCAGTAATTACAATTACAATTTCTGGGAAGTACAATTACAATACTTAGCCAAAACACTGTTTTAACACATGTAAGCTTCATGAACAGAAATTCTACTTGACCCAGTATAGATACGAAAAGATGAACAAAACTAACATCCCCTTTTTCACATGCAGAGAAAACAACATGTCACCAAGAAAATCAAACTATTCAAAGGCTTCAGTATTCACCAACATTATCCAGCATGAGATTTTAAATCAGAACTTTACTTTAGGACTCCACCTTCCTCTGTACATCAGAGAAACTGAAGTCAATCCTGACCACGTAAAATAGCGTACAAGCATATCTCTTACTGAGAGCACGTCATCACAAAAAGCAAACTCAAGGAATGATTCGCTGCATTATGGGGCAAACCCACTGATTCACCAGATTACTAATAACTCCACACATTATGAGGCCAATACTGCGCTGCCTGGGGTCATCCCATGCACCCTTACTTCAGCACTGCCTGGAGTAGGCAGCAGCACTCCAAACCACTCATATAGGGGGCCACCAACACACTATAAAGCCACACTGAAGCAGGTGAAGAAAAGACAGCAGCTTAGGGTAAGCAGGGAAAAATCCATCTTTACTCGTTGGAAAAAGCAAGAAAGGTCACTGGGAGGCCACCAGCACCAGCTGGGATGTTTTTTTGTAATGCTGAAGAGAATTAGACTCTTGCTACCATTGCTCAAAATCCACCAGGAAAGGCTGATGACTTCTTATCACTGTTTTGGGGACAATTTGAAGCATTGCTAGCCATATGGGTTGGAATTTTTGGGGTTCCTTCCATCTACCCCAAAGTATCATAACTACCCACCTCGTCCCATATCCAGTTCTGTGCATCTTCTGTCAGGGTTGGTATGGACTCGACATTTGAACACTGCTCCTGGGGACTGAACAGAGGTGCTGTATTTAGATTCTGCCTTGGGAGCACCAACCAAGACCCTGGAAACCAAAAGCAAAGTAACAAGTGATTAATTTCAGGAGAAAAGAAACAAAACCAACCAACCAAACACACCCCCAAGGCTCACACTGCCACAGCTTCCTCAGCAAAAGCACTTTTCTCAGCAACCTTGTAAAATTGTGATACTGACTCACAAAAGGAAAACACCACATACAATAAAAGCATTTTTCCACAGTAAAGGCATAAATACTTTATAAATTAAATTTCCATTAGGATTGTAACACGTTTAAAGTTACACACCCTCACCACAAACACCCCCAAAGTATTTAGGAAAGCATTAGGATGGACAGCTACATCCCTATCAACCCAGAGCTGATACACACACCCACAAGAGGACAAAATCTGAAACTGCACGCTCGCAGAGCCAGCCCAAGATCTGTAAGTTTGCTTAGGAAGTGGAGGCACCTCATTCTCAGAGCAATTTTTATTATGACAGCTTTACAAAAACAACAGCAAAAAAAACCCAAACAGCAATATAAGCAAATCTCTTCCACAATGTATTGCTATCGGCCAACATTTATCCTTGAGACTCTGAAGACTTTACTTGGACTATTTATCCCACATGAGACCTCCTGTTTCTGAGAAGCACCAACGCCCCGTTCTGACCACAGGGTTACCCTTGAAAGATGATGAGCACCTTTTAATCACTTGTGTTAAGATCTAGTTAAATTGTTTAGCAAGCTGACATCTATCTGCTCGTGCCATAAGGGATGTCTTTTCAGGAGGATTACAGGGGAAGAACAATGGCATGGGTTCAGGTGGCTGAATTTTTGGTTATAGGGAGCCATCGAGATGATTTCAATTAGAAGCTACTAGAATCCTTTGCTGTTCTATGAAAAAGCCAATGATAGCCAACTCCAGGATGGAGTTCCTACTACTAGCCAATGATATTTGCTTCTGTGATAACATATTAAAGAACAGAGGAAGAGAAGATTTGTTGCACAGAAGAAATTCCAGCTCAGAGGAGAGCAGAGGAGAACATGAGATGGCAACGTAAACTCCCAGTGTAGCAGGAGGGGGGAGGAAGAGGCCCGGGGAGACCTCCCTCTCCCCCTCCAGCAATGGAAGGGCTGACAGGCGAGACCCCTGCTGCCTGTGGAAGAGCACTGGGGTGCAGAGACCCCCCTCTGCAGCTCATGAAGGAGCCCACACCAGAACAGAGGAGTGCATGAAGATGATGTGACTCCGTGGGAGGCTTAAGATGAAAGAGAGTCCTGCTGGAGACCTGCAGTCCATGGAGAGAGAAACCTACGCTGGAGCAAGTTGTCCTGGGTAGGACTTGTGGCCCTGTGACCCAAGAGACAGCAGGTTATGGAAGAACTGTGCCCTGAGGGATGGACCCACGCAGGAGAAGTCTATCAAAGACTGTCCCCTATGAGAAGGGACCCCACAAGAAACAGGAGAAGGAATCAAAGCCATTACCCCCTGTAATTGTGGTGATGACCATTGGTGAAGCAAGATGTCCTCTTGCAGTCCATGGAGACAATCAGAGCGCAGAGGGAGAGAGACCTCTGCACCCGATGGAAAAGTGACCCCCTAGGACAGTGAACTGGAAAGAGATCCTGTCTAAGAGGTGGATTTTAACAGTGGCAGAAGCAGCCACTGACTGTGACTTTCCTCCTTTTCTCATCTCCCTGTGCATCTGAGGGAAGGGGGGAGTAGAAGGAAGGTGGTGTGTTTTAAAACTGTTTTATTCTTTTACTCTTTTAGTTATTATTCTATTAGTAATAATTTAGGGGTTTTTAAGTTTATTAGCGATAAATTTAAGTTCTATTCACTTTGAGTCTGTTTGCCTGTGAGAATTAATTAGTGGGTGAATCTCCCAGTTCTTATCTCTACTCAGGAATTCTCTGACTGTTTTTCCCCCCCCCCCTTAACGCAAAAAAGAACAAAAGGGGGGAGGAAAGGAGAAAGCAGTTTTCAGTAAGTGTTTAAAATCCAGCCAGAATCAAAACTACGACACACAAGTATTAAGGGAGTCCTTTCACTGCCTCCTCACTAAAGGGACAATCTTTCTTAACTAGTTATGAGCCCAGATCTAGGCACGTGAGGGTGAAGATGGAGGTTAAGCAGGAGGAAGGCAGATCCAGGGAGGGCAGCGGGGAGCACCAGGTACTTAAGTAACAGTTCTGCAGTGCTCTTGCTCTGTCAGGCATGACAGAGCTTCTGCATGTAAAAAAATCCTCACTGAAGTAAAGCCCAAGGCAAAACTAAGGGCAACTATCTCTAAAAGGCTGAGGCTCCAGCACTGCCGTGTGTGGACACAGCCTGGTACTTGGGAGGCAGCAGCTGACCAAGGAGACACTGCTCTTGGTTTAGCCACTAAAGGGATAAAGAGCTACTGATGCAAAGTCAGTCTGTACACACAACCTTCCCATGGCACAGATGGACAGCCCAGCACCAGCCCCAAAGTGGATGCTTTCCCTGTTTAAACAACTTTTCCTTCATCCTCCAAAGTTCCATCCATAATCACCACCCATCATCACCATCCCAGCAAATATAGGGAGACCCAAGACACAAGGTGTGCACATGTCCAGGGTCAATCTAAGTCATCTGGAAGAGCTTCTCCTTCATCAGAGCCTCATCTATATCAAACAGCAGTACATCCCCACTCCTGACACACTCCCCTGGACATAGGATACAAGAAAACTATCCTGTGGTCCTTGATATGTTTACAAAAAGAAAAGAAATCCCTGCATTAAGTGACCATTTTCTCTGAAGTTTCCTGGGCTAAGCTCTATCATTTGGAGAATTCTGATAGGGTTGCAGTCTTGCACTCTACAATGCACATCATGTTTTCACAAGTGAGAAGAATTAATGTCTAAAATACCTTAACTGCTAAAATCTACAAAGCCTGCACACACTGGGGAGCAAGTGCAAGGGAGGCTGAAATAATAGCTCCAAATGAAAATCCCATTAGGCAGGTTGTGGGTATAAAATCAAATGCCAGTCATTTCATTTACACAGGCAGTGAATGCTATCATTCAATTATTGAAATCCACGAGGTCTAACAAAAATAAATATTACCAGCTTAAATACTTACAGGTTCAAATTGCAAATGGCAAGAAACTGTTTCTATGACTTGTTATAACAATCAGATAATGTAGGGTCACACTGACCTCCAGTTTAAAAGAAACTTTGCTCTAACCCAAGAAAAGTAAATACAATTCAGCAAATACTGCACAAGAAACTATGGGTTGCAGCACAAAAGATAGAGATGATGGAGCCTAAATTACTATGACTTTTCAGCTTTCTTTAAAAAGCCAAATGGGAAAATTTAATGATTAATGATTTGAGTAGGCTACTGGCTCAGATAATATTGCTGTCTTGAGCAAATACATCTTTCGAAACGAAAATGTCTGCTGACATTTCTTCATGGGGACTGAGCAGAAGGAAGCAGCCAGTGACACGTGCCAAAAACAAATCTATTTCAGATTGTCCTGAATGTCCATTCACTCAAATTTGATATTTCACCTACATCCCACACTATGTCATCTTAGGATCTTGCCTCACTCTTTCACTCTCACACCTAAAACCCAGCACTTAAAACCTTTGCAGATCTCCTGTTCCATCTGGCATGATCCATACTCATCCCTGCTCTGAGATGGTTACCTTCAGGGAAATGGGAGGTTTTTTGTTGGTTCACATGCTTTTTGGCTGGTATTTGCACGTACCAATTACTTTAATTTTATTCAAAGGTTTGAGACCGGAATATTTCCTTTGTCAGCATAAAGACTTGCTGAAATCTATAGATTTCCCATGCTTCTATATGACTATCTGGGCTGTCAGCAAGCAAGTACCAGCAGTTCTCCAGCCTTTTGCCAGAAGGCTCACTAAGTGGATAATACTCTCTGCATAGATTATATATGAGTGCAGGTTCTCACCACAACCATACTGTTCTGTGGGAAGCCCCTAGAATATTTGTGAGTATCTGCCTGAAGATACCTTGAAGGGGAAATCCCCTCAAGAGAGAGATTTCTTCCTATGAAAGACAACTGATGGCAGAAGGATTGGAGTTTGGGGCTTTTTTAGGATCACTTTTGCTTGAGGTGCAAAAAAATCTGTAAGGAACAGCCTCATCCCACTGGCTCTGTGAAAAAAATATTGGGGTCTAAACCAAAATAAGGAGCAGTAGGCAGAAAGGCCACTTAACCCTCTCTTCTTGAATTCATACTCAGCACAGTCAATTCAAAACACCTTCATCTGTACTGAGACAACAACACAGATACATGACCAGAATCCATTCCAGCACAGGAGTCACAGCAGCTAATATTAATGGATGACAAGAAGCTTTCTTGGCCAAAGGGAAATTCACACCTTTGTAAGATTACTTCCTGTAGAACAGTAACAATCACTTCACAGGTGATTGACCCTTGGGACATACAGATTTGGAAAATAAGTGCTGGATTTTAAAGGAACAGGGAGAAAAAGTGCAGAGCCAACCAATGGCTGGAGAGATGCCACGCACATTAAGCATCTGCCTAATCGCTGCTGACATGCTGCAGGCTATCACAACTCAAGGACCGTAGGTACCTCACCTCACTGCAATGTTAAGTGGCAGGGAAAAGAAGTCTTTAAATATCCCTGCATACCAGAGCTGATTTCTAAAGCAGTACCAGAGGGTGCACTGCCATCACATCCCAGTTGAGTTTCTCCCCTTTAGAAAGATCTCTGTTACTTGCAATAAGAACCCCAGGTACTTGAAATACAAACCTCTGTGTTTCATCCATTAAATGCAGAGCAAGAAGCAGGAGGGCTGGATGACCCGTGACCAGTGACAGCAAGTTCAGGTTCCCCAAAATGCCACGGTAGCTCCTACAGCATCACTGCTTAGACTATGCAACACAACTCCCAGCCACCACAGGGTCCGTCTGTCCCACCCTTCCCTCTGGATACACACAAGTACGTGACAAACTAACAAAACGTATCCATCAGCCCGAGGTGCAGAACAGCGCGATTCAGTGAAGAGCAGGACTGAGGGAATGATGCAACAGCACAGAAAACAGACCCATTCCGTATTGTAAAACTCACAGGACACCATTCAACTAAACTGACTCCATTACTTTTTCAAGCCAGATAGTTTTGCCAGGAATGATAAAGTGGTCACCCTGGACTTGCTAGGGATTCGAGGGTGTCAGCCAGAAGCGGGCATAAAGAGGGGAAAGGAGAGAAAATAAAGTAACATTTTAAAAAACAACAATCAAAGATTTCACATTATTAACATTTTTTACTGGGGAAAAAGATGACATTTGTTTCTTTTTAAACTGTCTGGGGTCATTTTCTGAGTCTTTAGTCCAAGTTTCAAAACTACACCCAGAGAATGGAAGCACTTCAGCTTGTCTCTGCTCCAGATGCAAGTAGCCACCTGGTTCCTCACTCAGCTGAAAACAGCAATGATGGGTAACTGAGCAAACCTGTCAAGATTTACAGCCATAAAACCCATTTAAGGAAGGAAAAGCAGGCATAATCAGAAATACAATAACCTCAGCACACCTGTGATAAGAAACTTTTTTTGAGATAAAAAAGTGTGCAAAACCCTTCTAAATGGAACCATCTTTGCAATCAACTATTTCAGGAAAGATCAAAGGCACTGACTTGCTCCACCATTGCTGTGGTGGCTGAACACTTATATCCCACTATAATTTCTGTGCCAAGGACTGTGTAGCAGCTTGACTATTCACGTTTATCTGATGTAATATTTCAAACCAAACATCCCCCCTTCTTTCATTCTACAAGAATATTTGGCTCATATAAATCTTGAAGAATCACCAAACCCTGAATCAGTTTACCGCAAGCCTGCAGTCGACAATACAAACACGTGCCTTTGTGGTCTTGGAAAACAAACAGTTGAAACGGGCCTGGCTATTACAGACACCACTTTAATGTGAATCCATGACCACATAAGTGTGCACACACGTGTATATACACACAGATATGCACACACATACCAGCACACGGACAGCACACCGCAAACAACACGGCTCTCGTGTTGGTCAGCATGTGAGGGGAGCATCCAGCCCTCAAGCAATAAAGAGCAAGAAGCCCCTGAACAGTTTCAAATGCTCCAGAGCCTATTAATATATTAAACAATATTAGATGGGCAGGAGCCCTATCAGCCTCAGATATGACTGATCACATTTTTGCAGGCTCACATACAGTGCACAGCTCACTGGGGAAGTCATGAATGCCCAAAATACCACTGTCTAAAGTTAATTTAGCTTAACTACTTTCTACTGCAGCCAAATGGACACGAGAAAACTTAAATCATAGTTCTTCCTTGGGTATATAAATGCTTCAAGAAGAAAGAAAAAACTAACACACAAAAACCAAACAGTAAGCCTATTACTTTTAAGAGGAGCTTTATGTTATAACAGGATGAACAGAAAACATTTTTACCACATATTCCCTGTAACTGATTTCAGCCTTTCCCCAGAATATCACATTTAGAAGAGAAGGAAAAAAAATCACCTGTTGACTAACAAGCCAGTTAAGGAAATATTTCTACAGCTTTGCAACAGAAACCTGACAAAGCTGAAAAACGTTGACAGTTCCACTAAGCATTTCCCTCTGCACTCATCTAAGAAATTGGGATTGTATATTGTACACCAGTAACCTGAAACAGGTAATCAGTTTAAAATTGAAATCAGAGACTTTCTGCTCTGAAAGGATGTATAAGATTCTGTACAGTATAAATATGGTTTTGAAATACTACTATATAATGCTGAAGGCTTTTATGCCCAGTTGAAGAGGGCATACCTAAAGGTACTTACTAGGGTTCAGCCCTTAATGCTTTGAATGCCAAGGAAGATTGGTCAGATTTTTAAGCTTTTCAGAAGAAATATGTTAAACACTAAATGTCTATGATGTTGTAGTGTGAATAAAAACGTACTTGCAATTGGAATATGCTCATTCAGTACAGGGAGCGGCATCTTCAGAAAACTGGAAGAAGACTGCATACACGACTAAGTGAGATTTATCATTAACCTTCAGGATGCACGCAAACATCAAGAGCATAACTGCACATAGCAAATTAGAATCAAGGAGAGTGTAAAAATACGTGTCTCCCAAACTTGTTACCCCAGGGTCTGTTGGGGGCAGGATTTTGAAGTACCTGTGAAGGCAAACTCTCTCATTCCACAATGAAAAGAGGAGCTTTTCCATCAGTGGTGACAATGCCACCCTCAAGATTTCTGACAGTGCTGATGCTGGCCATATGAGGCTGCTATTAACCCTTCTGGGTGTTATGGCTAGCAATTTCTTTATTTAAAACTATTTAGTGACCCTAGATGTTTGTTGGTTTTTTTGTTTTGTTTTTCTCTGGGTGCCATAGCTAATGCTCCATGAACCACCTCCACTTTCAAAAAAAACGAAGTTTGCATAACCAGAGACTTTAATATTGAACACTAGACTTCTCACAGATCCCTGCCTTCAGACAGGTGCTCAACACTTATAGTCCAGCATGTTTCCAAACAAAGTGGGATATCTGGGAGACTCACCTTCCTAGCCTACCTCCCCTTCCAAACAATCAAACCAACAGGTGCTATCTGAAGATAATTCATATTATCAATCAGAACAATGGACATTTACACAAGGAGCAACAAATTCCATCATTTACATCCCATCATACTGTACTAGATCAGCATTTCATTCACACCCCTGCAAATCCCCAGCAATCTGTGTTGAATACAAGCTGCTTTCAGCCTTTGCATCCTTCACTGGTTCCTGACCAAAGTTAAGCATTGCTTTAAACTGAGAGCTCTGCTTCTCTTCTCCCAGGGTGCTTTTCCTCTACTAAGTCTTCTGATAAGTCCTTAAAAATTAATGCTCTGTAAAAGCCACTATGGAGAAAGCCAGGGAATAGAATTACTTGTGAACTAAAGGGTGTGAAAGAAATTCATTTTTAAAGAACTGAACGCCAGGATGAATACATTTATTTATACCACCACAGTGCACCAAAGTTCCAATATCAATAGCTGAGTCATTGGGCCATATCTAAGTATAAAAGATAAAGACATGCTTTGTGGACACTTATTGGCAGCAACGGCTCCTACTCACATTAGAAATGCACCAGACGACACCAACTAGGGCCAATTATGAGAAATCAGTTTTTAATTGTAACAAAGAGCCTCTAACCCAGACAAGAGACAGACTATGCTCCGAGGCTCTTTTCAATCAATAGGAAAAGAAGAAGCTTGCCAGTTTTATCATTTTTTGAGATGTAGATAAACTTCCTTTTCATCGGCCTTTTTTTGTTGTGTTTTGGTTTTTGGTTTGGTGTTTTTTGTGGTTTGTTTTTGGTTTTTTTTTTTTTTTGTTTGTTTTTTTGTTTTGTTTTGGGTTTTTTTGTTTGTTTGTTTTTTAAAGTTACATAGGCATTTCCTCTACGGTCCCTCACGCCAAGAGCGGGCACACAAAGGGGACAAACGCCTCTCAATTTGGGAGCGTCTCTCCAGCCTCCGGACGGATTTTGTGCCTCGCCAGGCTGAGCGCAGAGATATCAACTCCGTCAGCGCAGAGCGCGCTGCTCCCGCTGGAGGTGATCGGCATTAGAAACGTTTCCCGTTTAACACGGCATGACCCCTCAGCCACCTTTTGTGCCCCGTGCACTTTCTGCCGGGGCCATGAGCTGCTCACTATCTCCCGCAGGGAGCGGGGCCGCGCACAGCGCCGAGCCATCGGCCACGGGCGGGCTGGCGCTTGAGGACGCCGAGCGCCTGCTGCCAGCTCGAGAAGCGCATCCCCGCGCTAAAACACCTCCAAACGCGGGCGGACTCCGCTCCCATCGGGGGAATGCCTCCCGCACCAGGGGCGCGGAGCCACCGCGCTGCCTCCACCGCAGCCGCCCGACGGGGCGGACCGAGCGCGGGCAGAGCCCCCGCAGCCGGGCCGGAGGCGCTCCCTCGCTGCCCGCCCTTGCCGGGGGGACCCGGGTCCCGCCGCCCCGCTGCGGGGGATGCGGCTGCCCCCACAGACGGGCTCCTGGCAGCGCTGGCCCGGCCGCTCCCCGCCGCCGGCCCCGGGCTCGCAGGGGCCGCGCTACTCACCACCGCGTGCTGTCGTGGAAGTGCTGCAGCACCGAGTACCCGAAGAAGGAGCCGTTGGGACCCTGGAAAACCACGGGGCGACCCACGTCCACGTTGTAGCAGCGCACCAGGGCCACCCACAGCAGCGGCCACAGCACTCGCGCTCCGCGCCGCCGCGCCGCCGGCATCCTGCCAGCCCCGAAGCAGCCGCCCGTCCCGGCGCCTCTCAGCGATGAGCCCCGGCGCGATGAGCCCCGGCCCGCCGAGCCCGCCGAGCCCGCGCTGCCCCCGACGCCGAGTCCCAGCTGGGCCGGCGCTTCCCTGCCCGCCCCGCCCGGCCCCGCCACGCCCCGCGCCCCCTGGCGGCCCCTGCGGGTCCCACAGCCGGCCCCTCCCACACACCCAAAGCTCTCTCCGCTGTGCCTTGCTCTCATTCCCCCACCTGCTCGCAATCGTTGCCCTTAAGCATCACCCTCCGAGCAAGTACTCTGGTGCAACATGTGTATGTTGCTGTTTAGGAACTGCCATTTTTGATGCTGACCGTGATGCCAGAAAGTGGACGTTAGCATAGGAATATTTCAGGGACAGGTTAAGTAGAGAAGTAATAACTACAGAATTTGATGGTGAAAAAAAAAAAAAAAAAAAGATTAGTGATGGAAGGGATTTCCAGTCATCAAGGTGTTTTTATACTGGCTGCGTAAAGCCTAGTGGTATAATTATTTACTGTTCTTGTTCAAGCTGGCTTATAAAAAGTTTGGAGTAGTGAGAGTCTTCTCTTCTTCATTTAAGTATGACCAAGATTATGGAGATGGGAAAATTTTCCAGTCTTAAGTGACACAGTGGTCAATATCAAATAAAAAGGAAAAGCCACTTTATCAGTAACTTCAGCCTTTAGTGTATGATAAAACTGCAAGAACTGATTTGCTCATTAAAGCACCAAGTGAAAACAATAGGGCATTTACATCGGATCAGCAGGGAGATTCATAACATTTAATAAAAAGATTTTCATGGGGGTTTTTTATAACTGTGCAGTCAATATGAATAAAAGTAATTTGATTTAGGCAGAAAGTCAATATGCCACGATGAAGTAAATTCCACAAATGACATTCAATCCCATTAGCACTACAAAGTCAAATCTCTCTGCCTTTTGAAGCAAGGAAGTGAGAGGGCCTGATGGGGCTTTTCAGTTAATTACCTGGGCACTGAGCGATGCTCAGGCAGCTCTCCAACGAAGTTAAAGGAAATGTGGGATGACATGCTGGAGAGAGCAAAAGGTTCATCCATCTCCAGAGGAAGGAGGGAAGCAAAGCAGCTAGAGGAGGTGAATGGAACACTTGTCTCTCACACTGCAGAGTGCTCTTGGGATGACTTATTTCAGCTACAAGTGATGCATATGAAACTGTGTCAGTCCACAAAAATTTCAGTTCTCCATTCTTGGCAAGGAAGATTATCCAGGGAAAGGCCAGGAACATGGTACTTCCATCCTCTTCTTTCTTTTACTGCACATCCAAATACCAAAGTCATCTCACATTTAATCCCACTGGAATTTTCAGTCCAAATAGAAACAGAAACTGCCTGTCTCAATGGCATAAGTTTAGCTGATAAAATTCTGGCAGGCCATTTACAAAACCAATGGGAAGGATCCAGCGCAGTGACAAGGATAATAACAACGTACAGGTAAATGAGGAATGGAGCACTTCTATGAAGACATGACGGGAGAGACGGGGTTGTTCATCCTGAAGAAGAGAAGGCCCTAAGGAGACCTCATTGCAGCCTTCCAGAGCAAGTTTTTACCTGAGCAGATAGCGACAGGACAAGAGGGAATGGTTTTAAGCTGAAAGAGGAGATATTTAGAGACAATCATAGGAGGAAATTCTTTACTGTGAGGATAGGGAGGCAGTGGGAAGAGGTTGCCCAGAGAAGCTGTGGATGCCCCATCCTGGAAGTGTTCAAATTGGATGGGGCCCTAAGCAATGTGTTCCAGTGAAAGGTGTCCCAGGCAGGAGGGTTGGAAATAGATCATCTTTAAGGTCCCTTCCAATCCAAACCATTCTGTGATTCTGTGATAATTTAAAACTTTTACAACACAAGCTTCCCCACTCACTACATTCTTACATCAGCTTTTCAGCTTACCACGTGTCTGTTTCACAGGTTGTGATCCCTTGAAAACCTGAAGGTCTCCATTGACTTCGTACAGTTTAATGTACTTTAATGAGTAGCCCTTTTTATGAGAGCGATTTCAGCCTGGAAATATCTCAGCTAAGGATGTCTCAAACAGGAATAAGAACAATACTGGTAGATCCTTTCAAAGAAAAGTCATACCAAAGATGTTCCAAAATTATACAGTAAATAAACTTTATTTCATCTCATCTCTATTTAGATTAGTGCTGTCAACAGTCACAGATCAGCATATGATACAGTTACGTATTAACTATTTACAGGAATTTACAGGAACATACCTTTTCTCCACAAAAATATAAGTACAAAAGCTAGGAGTAAACAAATGAGGTACTGCAATTTGGATTTATTGTAGGCAAAAGCATATAGAAGTGACCTTTAGCAAACAATCAAGATCAAATCAGGAGAGAATAGTCAACAGAAGTTCCTAGTTCATCAGAAAAATCACCTCAACCACTACTCATTCAAAATGTATTGCACAATTCATTCAAAAATTAAAAAAAAAATAAATAGAAAAAACAAACAATTTATTTCAACTCTTAAAAAACACCCAGTAAAACCTGTATAAAGATACAGTAGTGGGTAATTCCTTCCTAGGATAAAGTCTTTTCTCTCCTTTAAAAAAATAACTTTTAACACAAAATAGAAGACAGTATTCAATAGAAGAGAAAGACTCATCACCAAATAACCCCTGATTAGAATTTCTGTCAAGGCAGTTTTAACTATACTCATGGTCCAAAGATGGTGCTGAGTTTTGGTTCTTGCTGTTCCATTTGTGACCTTGAATAATAGCTTTTCTTCTTGTCCCTTTTCAAGGGAAAACAACAGAGATATAAAAATATTTCTAAGCAGCAGTGTCATGAGACATTCTCATCACAAATTCTTCAAGATGGTCGTAGCCATGACTAGAAGAATGAAAAATTAGAAGAAATGAACAAATGTTACGTTACTGAGAGCAACTTTGATAATCTTAATATTAAAATAATGAAATTATTTATTGTATGATTAGCAGGTAGAAGAATTTCATGTAAATTAAACTGCCAAATTATTAACTGATTTTGAGCAAGCAATTCTATTACAGTACCTGCAACACAGTTGAGAAACTGATGAAAATGAAATAAGCTGTAGCAAACCAGTCAGAAGTCTCACTGGAAATAGTCTACCACATCTCTGCAGATTAATCCAATGAAACACAAGGTCGTCCTCTCTGCATAAAGGCCTATCATCAAACTTGAAATGATAATGTATAATTTCAGAGCTAGCAAAAAGCCTCCTCTAACACGAAAATACTGACCACCTGCACAATTAAGTCAGCATCACCTTCATTTCTAAGGTATACACATCCAAGAATAAGGGACAAAAATACTTGAGATGAAGTAAGCAATTGCAATCCAATAATGAGGTCTGAACAGTTTACATATATACTGGTTTAAGTTCTGAAAGTGTAACTGGTAATTGCTGACATTAAGGTCAACATCAACAAGCCCTCAGTGGCATGTTTCAAATGCAGCTGAGAACATCTAAATTTTTTACACCAGCATTATAACAGCATGACAAGAATGTAAGTTTCGAACACACCTTCTGAAATAGTGTTGTAAATAGCTTTGTTCCACTATTATCAACAATTCAATTCTTTTCAACTGAGGGCTATTAAAAACAGTTGCTGATTTTGTCAGAAGCGATCAGGAGGTGAACAGTCCAAACTCTATTGCATTTTAAGTGCAATGAAGTGCATTCTCCATTGTATTCAAAGGTTTAAAAAATCACAAAGTGGAAACCATGACTGTTAGTAAAGACGAACAATTTTTTTCCTTTGAAAGAAGTATTATTTTGTGTTGAAGGCTGTATTTGCATGACTGCAAGAGAGGAAGATAACCTATCAACCGCCCTGTGGTAACTAGCAATGGAAACAGCCTAAGTTAATCCGCTTTGCTGTGGTGGTGATACAGAACAACAACTACATTTTAGCCAAGGGACAGCAACTGCTTCACGTGCACTGAATCAATTCCTGGCAACTGTGCAAAGCTTTCCAGCTGCGAAGGAGGAAAAGTTGAGCTGACCATAGGCTACAGAATTTATCTGCAGAGTTTATTATATACCAAATGCCACTAGTGACTCAAATTATAACCTTATCAGTCAGCACAGAAAGCTTTTTCCTGTGTACTTCCATATTGTATTCCTCCCTCAACCACCACTGCTTGCTTGTTGCTTGTTTAGCTTGGCTGGTCTGATGCAACCCGTGTCTCTAGGCCTAAGTCAGCTGTTCTGTTCCTGTAATGCCACAACTAGCATTGCAGATTCATAATGAAACTATAAAGCTCACCTAATTGTTCTCCCTAATGCCTCTGCTTTAACTCTGCTCGACACCAAACCAAAGCTGAGATTCACAAAGGTAATATGTTCACACGCAATCATATCCTAATCCCTCTACAGAGAATATTTCATCAATCTTTTTTAGAATAATTTGTTCTCATATTTAAAAGATGTAGTTCATTTCCAGCAGTACAGTATGTTTCCCACAAATCTGACTTATTTGCCTATTCAAAAAAGGAACTCAGAAAGTGAATAAAGACAAAACAAAGCCAAGTGCAATAAAATCCAATATTACATGTTAATTAATTTAAAATCTGAATTTTTTTTCAGAGATTTCTGTAGCTAAATCAATACTTGAAGTTATGCTTATACCTCAAAAAGATCTGTTTTGAATCAATATTTACCATTTTCAAACTTGGCTTTGTAAAATAAAACATGATTAAGAGTAGAATAAAATTTACCATACACATGTAGAACAAATATTTGATTTTTAAGAAAGGAAAACAGGCAAGAAAAAAGCAGAGGAATGATTAATCTCATAATACATGTTTCATCTTTAAATAAAACAAGTATGTATTAGACTTCACTCACCCACATGCTAACTAAGCACAGACTGATGGGATATTCAAAAGATACCACTGCGAGGTGAGGCAAACTACAAAGCCAGGAAGAAAAGAGCTTATTGGACTACTGTGTTAACAGTGTTATAGAGTGTTAATAGATAAGA